GAACTGCAACTGAGGTATGTGCCCTTGAATGGAATCAAATCCGCAACCCTTTGGTCCGCAAGCTGACATTCTCATCGCTGAGCCAAACCAGCCAGGGCTATACCACAGCTTTTTTATCGACTTATCTACTGATAGGCACTTGGGCTATTTCCAAACTTTGACTATTGTAAATAATGCTGCAATGAACACAGGGATGCATATATTCTTTCAAAGTAGTGTTTCAAGTTTCTTTGGATATAGTCCCAGAAGTGGAATAGCTGGATCTACAATTTCTTCTTCTTCTTTTGTTAATCCTCACTTGAGAATATTTTTAGAAAAAGAGAAAGGGAGGGAAGGAGGTGAGGTGGGGGGAGAGTGAGAGAGAGAAAGAGAAACATAGATGTGAGACACACACATCAATCAGTTGCCTCCCACACTCACCCCAAACAGGGTCAGGGATGGAACTTGCAACCCAGGTACATGCCCTTGACTGGGAATTGAATCTGAAACCCTTTGGTTCTTGGGCCAGTGCTCCAACCATTGAGCAACACTGACTAGGGCTTCTTTTTTTAATTTCCTTTTAGACACATTTTCTTTAGAAGAATATTGCTCTGTTTCTAAACCTAAGGCTTTTGGGAGGTATCATTGTTACTGATTTTTAATATAATTCTACTATGGTCAGAAAGATATTTTGTGTATCTTCTAAGCTTTGAAATTTGCTGAAGGTAGTTTTATGGACAAATACATGGTCAATTTTTGTAAATGTTCCATGAGAATTTAAAAATATTCTCCAGCCCTGGCCAGTTTGGCTCAGCGGTTAGAGCGTCGGACTGTGGATTGGAAAGTCCCGGGTTCGGTTCCCGCTAAGGGCATGTACCTTGGTTGCAGTTTGTCCCCGGCCCTGGTTGGGTCGTGTGGGAAGCAGCCACTCGATGTGTCCCTTTCACGTCGATGTTTCTCTCTCTCCCTCTCTTTCCCTCCCACTCTATCTGAATAAAAAAATAAAAATGTCATCGGGTGAGGATAAAAATATATATATTTGAAAACAAATTTTTTAAAAAGAGAAAAAAGACTTTCGGTCAAGATGGTGGGTAGATAAACATGGTATTGGCGTCCTCCCACAACCACATCAAAGTTACAACTAAACTACAGAACAACCGTCATTCAAAACCGCCTGAAATCAAGCTGAATGGAAGTCCTACAACTACGAAATTAAATCAGCAGCCACATCGAAACTGGTAGGAGGGGCGGAGGCAGATGGGCTGGTCCCACACCCACGTGTGGTGGATAAAAATCAGGATACCTCGGCTGGGAAGGTCCTCCCTGAGGACTGAAGGGTCCCCGTCCCACACCAGACGCCCCGCTCAGGGTTCCAGTGCCAGGAAGAGAATCCCCATAACTTCTGGCTGGAAAAACCAGCAGGAACTGAGGTTCAGGGAAGCTGAAGCGGCTGGAGCCCCAGGCAGCTCCTTAAAGGGCCCGCGCATGGACTTATTGGACTCACTCCCTCTAAGCTTGGAGGGCAGGCAGCTCGAGGGGCACCAGAGACATACAGGGAAGAACTGAGCTGTTTGGCACTGGAGCGAGGGCTGAGAAGGGGCTTTCTGCTGGACAAACGTGCTGTCAGAGGCCTTTGTTCCTTTGATGAGCCCTTCCCTGGGGAGGTAGACAGTTGCCATATTTGGGACTCCAGCAACCTGGTTCACACTGGTTGCGCTGTCCTGGTGATTCCCTAAGGCCCCTCCCCACCCAACTTTCAGGCCCACCCAAGCTGTTGCCAGTTGCTTAACCATAGGATTGGCCTGTCTTGGATCCTGCTTCAGGTTTTTCCTAAATTCTTTCAAACTAGCAGCGTCTGGTCTCAGCCTCATACCTCTCGTTAAGTAATATATAGAAAATAAACATCTATATTCATTCACTGAAAAAAAAGATAAATTAGAAACCATAGATATAGATTAGCTATAGGCAATCAGGATAGAAAAGGACAGGGGAAAGAGAATAAGATTGAAAAGATGGGGTGATACTTTTGCGTATTTCTTCTAGAACTGTGCTAATGTTTTAAATGTAAAAATAATTAAGAATAGGAAGGCATTTATTATGAAATACAAATTGACTAATTGCATTACAAATGAATAATATAACCATACTGAAAGGAGGAGCAGCAGAAAAAAGAACCAACTTATATAACTTCGTAAAACAGTCTTTTGATCATGGATTGTGAAACTAAAACAAAAATAAACTATATACAAGTTCTGCATTGGTTATTTTTCATAGGAAAATATATGGGTATTTCTGAAAACTATTTTATGTGCATTCTAGAAATTAAGCAAATAAGTAAACATATTATGAATAGTCAAAGTCAGATTTCTTACAGCTGGATAAGAGTTATAAATACAGAAAGGAAGATTAGAATGAATTGTGCTGTTGGTCTAGCATAGGAAGTATCAATCTGAACTCATGAAGAGACACATCGTATACCTGCACACATGCACATACATATAGGCCTAGAAGCAATACCAACTCAGTACCCAATAATACACCTAATGGCAATTTTGGTTTCTGACTACCTTTCTCTGGTAAGAGAAACCATGGATGCCTAGAGAAAGCACTAATTCCAAAGTTGGGAGAAAATATAGCCCACTATATCTTCTGGTGCCAAAAATTAAGTATTTTTTTAAAAAAGTTTTTGATTTTTTAGAGAGGGAAGAGATAGAAACATCAATTGGCTGCCTCCTGCATGCCCCTCTACTGGGGTTCAAGCTCACAACCTAGGCATGTGCCCTAGGAAACCGTTCCAGGGGCCTTAGTTGACGGGATGACACTCAATCCACTGTGCCACACCAGCGAGGCAAGAAAGTATTTTTTTAAAGGATGGGACATGTCAAAAAGACATGAGGGTCAACTGAAAGGAGTTTGCATGGGCAAATCTAGGACATTTTGAGTAACAAAATAATGGTAATAATGGGTTATAACCTACAGAATAAAGAATACTTGGGCCCACTATCAATAAAATAAAAAAAACTCTTCAGCCCAGCTGGTGTGGTTCAGTGTTTGAGCATTAACCCATGCACCAGGGGGTTGCCAGTTTGGTTCCTGGTTGGAGGGCATGCCAGGGTTGTGGGTCAGATCCCCGGTGGGGATGTGCAGGAGGCAGCCTATCAATGTTTCCATCTCTCTCCCCCTCTCCCTTCTTCTCTAAAATTAATTTAAAAAGAAAAAAAGAAAAAGAAAACTCCTTTACATTGGAATTTCAACTACTAAAGTAGAAGACATTTTAGAAATAAAATCATTTGGTAACTAGCTCACTAGCAATTGTTTCAGGAAAGAACCAAGGGGTAGAGTACAAATACCTGCCAATTAGTGGACAAAAGTATGATGAAAAATGATATTTACATTGTACCAAGATTTTCCCCACAAGATACTTATTATCAACCTCAAAAACAGATCCTCTATAAATAATTGGCCTGTATTTTACAAAAAGTCTAAGGCAGCGGTTCTCAACTTGTGGGTCGCGACCCCTTTAGGGGTCAAACTACCCTTTCACAGGGGTCGCCTAAGACATAACAGCAGCAAAATTAGTTATGAAGTAGCAACGAAAATAATTTTATGGTTGTGGGTCACAACATGAGGAACTGTATTAAAGGGTTGCAGCATTAGGAAGGTTGAGAACCACTTTTATGACTCTAAGGTCATAAAAGACAGACACTGAAGAAGTATCCCAGATTAAAGGAGTTAAAGAGAGAAGACAATGTGTGATAATGAAGTGGATCTTTGACTAGGAAAAAACATCAGTGGACGGAGCAAATGATGAAATCTGAGTAAGGTCTGTAGAACAGTATAAAATAATAGATAAAAGTAGTGTAATAATGTTAATTCCTGATTTGGATAATTGTCCTATGTTAATATTTGGAGAACATGGAAATACCTTATATTTAAGTCTGAAATTTTTTCAGAATTTATTTTTATTAAAATTTATTTTACTAAATTTAAAAGTATTTTCATTTGACTAGAAAAGTAACTTCAACAACCCCTCCACAGTACGTCAAGCTAACCTTGATCATAAAGAAAAAAATACCTGGCTTTGGCTGGTTTGACTCAGTGGTTAGGGCACTGGCCTGTGGACCAAAGGGTCTAGTTTGATTCCCAGTCACGAGCATGTACCTGGGCTGTAGATTCAATCCCTAGCCCCAGTTGGGTTCCTGTGGGAGGCAACCAATTGATGTGTCTCTCACATTGATGTTTCTCTCTCTCTCTCCCCCGCTTCCCTTCCACTCTATCTAAAAAAAAAATCAATGGAAAAATAAATAAATAAAATCAATGGAAAAATATGCTTGGGTGAGGAGTAACAAAAAAGAAGCACTTGATACTCATAGCCTTCATTTGTAATTAGTCAAACTAGATTTGAATCTTAATTCTAAAATGTAGTTTAAGTTCAATCATTTCACTTACTAAGATCTGACCTATTGGGCAACAGCATTATAAACATTAAGAAAATATACAGAGGCCTGGCCGGTTTGGTTCAGTGGGTAGAGCGTCAGCCCGCAGACTAGAGAGTTCCAGGTTCGGTTCCCAATAAGGGCACGTAGTTTGGTTGCAGTTTGTACCCGGCCCCGATTGGGGTGTATGAGTGGCAATCACTCGATGTTTCTCTCTCTTTTCCTCCTGCTCTATCTGAAGATAACTGCAAAAATGTTCTTGGGTGAGGATTAAAAAAAAAAAGAAAATATACAGAGCTAATTAATAGATGGCAGACAATAGTAATAGAATACCTTCTAACACCTAAATATGCCTTAGCAGGATTTTCTACAGCACAAGGCAGACCACACTTTGGCAGAGTAGGAGGAGGAGGATATTACTGAATTAAATGCTAAATTAAATAGTCGAATAAATAATAATTTAAAACCTCCCATTACCTTGGCCAACAATCTGGGCAAGAGCAACAATGGTAACATTTGTCTCTTCTTTGTTAAAAAACAAAAAACCCCAGCAACAATTAAGCGTAATAGAAAAAAGAACACTACTGAGTTTGACAAATTTATTGGTATTTTAGTAAAGACATTCATCTCAGTCGTTTCTCTCTCCCATCTTGACCATAGGTTAATATTTCGTTTGAGTCAAGAAAAGAATATGCAGGAGAGGGGATGTTATTTAACAGTAAAATAGACAAAAATGACAAGTTTGCCTACGTTAAAGCAAGTTAAATTCATGTATCTTGATATCATTAAATCAAGTAAGAAAGAACTAATAGTTCTATATACATTTCCATTGTTTTACTTGGGACTTACTCTAATAAATGAAAGTGAACAAAGTGTTAGGAATATATACAGGCTGCTTCTCTGGAGTTATTACCTTTTAAAAGAGCTGAGCGAGTAGTTACCACCATTAAGACAGTCTGAAGCTGCCTGCAAATTTAACATTGTAGAAGTTTTCAAGGAAATCATTATACTGCATTTTTCTTTTATCTATGACTATGCCTTTAACGATATGTTTAATCGTCACATTAAAAAAGAATTCATATACATTACAAAAATACAAAAAAAAAACCAAAATCAAAAACAAAAAGACCACACTACCAACAAAGAAACCCACAACAAAACAAAGCAAACCCAAAACCCTTCAATACATAGCTCTAACAAGGTATATGTGGTCAAAGATTCCATTAAATGTTTGAAGATGCATTTTCTTTCCTTCTATTTTCAGTATCTAAAATGTGCTTTTGAGAGGCCATTGGTTAATATGTGTACACTTAAAATAAGCCACTTTATTGTATTAAATAAGAATTCCTGTAGTTAAGTACAAATCAAATTGGATTTCACAAGTTAGTACTTAAATGTTATGACAAAGTTACAGAAAGTGCATCTTTCTCATTTCATCTCATTGCATCTTCACACAATGTTGCTTTTTTGCTGTTACCTTTTAAAAAATAAAAGAAGTCAAATATTTAAGTATTATGTACATTTAAAATTTTTGGTGGTGGTTTGTATTTTAAAAGAAACAGCTTCCTATGACTTGCCTCAAGTCTGGTGGGAATGCTTACAGAAACCAAGCTTAAATAACAAAAAACCAAGAGAAGCACATTCAAAATACTGATTTACTTTGGTAGCAAATGGTTGTTCTTTGAAGACTAATAAAGGTAGACAAGACCCGTTAAGGTGAATGAAATGGGCTATATCAAATACTCAACAGTTTACATAAAATTAAAAACAAAATTTTAAAGAGCTAAGCCTCTGTATTCACTGATAGCAATGCAATATCTAGTTTATGACTTGAAACAAAACAAATGCCCATTGGAAAAAAAGCAATATTTTAATTTTATCTAATTTACTTTTAGTCAATACTCCAGTAACATTTTCCTCCCAATACAATACTACTCCCTCTCTATAAGGCTGTTCCTGGGAGCCAGAAAGTTTAGGTTAATAAGGGAGTTTAATTGCTTGCAGTTTCAACAGATAATAACTTTTTGCTTCCCTCTTAATGTGCTAATAGTTGTGTCTAAAAAAATATGCAATTCTTAGAAAGGTACCATTTCTGATTTTCTTTAAATTATCTGTAACCTTTGGAAACTAATCACATGAAACTACAAAATTAGCAAATGTCTTGAAATCTGTATATAAAACATAAATTACGTCTAATTTCAAACTCTCATTTATTAGTGTACCACTCAATCTTAAAAAAAAAAAAAGGGCGGCTCCAAAGATAGTCTTATATCATTCTTAAAAAGGAAACTGTTCCTTTTAACTTTACACCCACCCTAGACCCCAATTTCACAACATATCATTTAATTGTCTTGGTCATGGACATTTCCAAGATGAGATTTTATATTTCGCTCCCATAGCTTCTGGTTATCAGAAAACCCATGCTTTCCTTTATTAAAGGAGTTTGGTCCTGCTGATGTTGGTGTATCCCTGTGTTAAAAGAAAAAAAAAAATGTTTAAAATATTATACAAAGGCTTTTGGGCCATGTTTTAACTTATTTAAAACACATCTGTTTAGCACTTATAAACATAGGCTGACCATCAGAAGCCCCTAAAAAGGTTTTTAAAATATACAGATCTAGTTCTAAAATTTCAGATTCAGTAGGCCTGAGAGGGAACAGGTAAATTTGTAGTTTTAACACACATTTAAGGTGATTATTAATACATAGTTAAGGGTGGCAACCATTATAGTTTATAAAAATTGTTACTTACAACCCATTAATAAGGTCATGAAATTAATCTGCTGACTTGCCATCAGCATTTATAAAAATTAAATAGAAAAAAAAACCTACGAAGATGTACCACACACAGAAAGGTTCAGGTCACTTTATGAACTCTGTTTCAATTTTACATGTTTATATAAATGTATAATGGGTGTTTAGATTGGATTACAATGTCAGATCTATTTCTTAGGTCCCAGTATCAAAGGAAGGCACAGGACCTAACACTCCCACTGGGAATGTGGGCCCAATTCCCAGTGGGGGGCATGCAGGAGGCAACCAATCGATGCTCTCTCTCATTAATGTTTCTATCTCTCTGCCCCTCTCACTTCCTCTCTAAAATCAATAAAGAAAAAATATATGTTTAAAAAACAAATAAATAAAGCTAAGCTTTCTTACTAGCCTCTAAATTATCCATTTATACATACAAAGACAAGAAACTGAACATCAGGTTAATGTGAAATTAACATTATTTCCATGACAACAGAAACAATAAAGGAAAATTAAAATACTTTTGTTTTATTCTGGTATTTGATATCTAAGTTACCAAGGAAAAAAAGGACATTTATGATCAAGATTAAGTGGTGAGAATGATATCATAAACAAGTGTAAGCCATTTTTTACACTAGAAAAAATTTTTACATTTTAAATCAGGAACATTTCTCATAGCTATTTCTTATTTGCAAAATATATATACAGATTACATGTATCTGAAAAGAAATATTTTTTCTTAAGATATTCATAAGATCACTGATAGATAACTCACAAAATAAAACTGTTTTGCCCAAATTCTCAAGAAAAGCCTCAATACTAAAAGATTATGTGTAATTGATTCTATTTTTTTTGCTGCAAAAAGCTTTATTGTTTCCATTTGGTCCAATGTATTCTTGCTCTTAATTCACCAATATTTCCTACAATATTTATGAAAAATTATACCTTCCAATATTCTTCATCCTCATCTTTGCTTCTGGTGGCATTTCCTCTGGCTCGCTCTGGAGGAAAAAAACAGAAGTAAACAGAGATGACTGCACATAGATTTATTAAATTCACTTAATTACTAATATGCTAAGACTTTTAGCATTTTTAATAGGGTAAATTTTGGTAAAATAAAAATTAATATGTAATTATATTTGTCAATTATTCCTCAATAAAGTTGTGGGAAATTAAAAAAAAGAAAAAGAAAATTCTTTATCTTAACTACATTTTAAAAAGAAGTGCATTTCTCCTGGTGTGCTGGTTTTGCATTAAAATTTCTAGATATTTAGAACTAAAACAATTTTTTATTATGTACTACACACTGTGTTAAATACTTTAATAAGCATGATCTCTTAAAACCCTAACAATCCTACATGGTGGGCATGATTATCATCACTCTCACTTTGTAGATGGTATAAACAAGGTTAACGTATCCAACCTAATGAACAGCAAAGCAGTTGAATGCCAAAGCAAAGACTCTTAACTAGTGTACTGGATTGTTCCATCTAAAAAATGTCTCCTTGACTATTAAGATATTTTGAAAGTTCACTGCTTACTACTTTTCCCTACCTTTACCTACTGATATAAGTCATATTCCTTTTATATATGTTTTTATGTATAAATATTACTGCAGAGCTAAATATTCTTTTTTTAAAAAGGTGCTCTTGCCCAGCAGGTGTGACTCCATGCACCAAGAGGTCACCGTTTCGATTCCCGGTCAGGGCACATGCCCAGGTTGTGGATCCAATCCCCAGTGGGGGGCATGCAGGAGACAGCCAATTGATGTTCTCTCTCATTGATGTTTCTCTCTCTCTTTCCCTAATATCAATCAATAAAAATCAATTAAAAATAAATAAATATATAAGGTGTTCTTGCCCGGCCGATGGGGCTCAGCAGTTGAGCGTCGACCCATGTACCAAGAAGTCGCTGGCTCAATTCCTGATTGGGGCACATGCCCAGGATGTGGGCCCGATCCCCAGTGGGGAGCATGCAGGAGGCAGCCAATCGATATTCTTTCTCATGGATGTTTCCATCTCTCTCCCTCTGCCTTCCTCTCTAAAATCAAGAGAGAAAAAAAAGGGGGTTTCTATTGGTCAGATCTGGAACAATTTGAGCATTATAGCCTGTTTAATAAAGTAAGAATCCATGAACCCACACTTACATACATAAGGGAAAGCTCTTGTTTACAGTAAGAGACAATAAGCATTGAGAGGATGAAAGATTTAGAAAAGTCATCATTTGGCAAACACAGTAATTGATTCCCACAAGAATTACCAATGGTTTTTAACACTCAAGAGTAAATGCTTAAGAAATTCTTTTCACATATTCTCAAACCATATCTCCAATCAGATAAATTTCAATTAGAAAAGGTAAAATAGTATTTTGACAGTAATCTAGCAGACATCACTTTAACCAAATAATCAAAGTTAACACTGCCTGTAATGTGACATATTGGTAACATGTGCTCCCTGATATGATGCACTGAGAACCTGGCATCACTTCTGTGGTATTCCAGCTAAAAAAAATGTGAATCTAATCATGATAAAACACCAGACAAATCCAAACTGAGGGACTATCTACAAAATAACTGGCCTGAACTCTTAAAAAATATTAATGCCATAAAATATACAGAAAGACCCAGGGACTGTCCAAACTAAAGGAGACTAAAGAGATACAATGAATATATATATTTTTTAATTTAAAAGTTAATTAAATGAATGCTTTCTTTATCCAATATATTTCAGACTCAGATATATAGTCAAGATTACTTAACCATGTTCTACAGAAAAATATCTTATTTTATATATTTCAGATATTAGTCCTTTGTTGGTTTTCAGATTTTTATTTAAAAAAATTTTTTTTTTTTCTTTATTGATTTGAGAGAGAGGAAGGGAGAGGGAGAGAGAGAGAAATATTGATGAGAGAAAACATCGACTGGCCACCTCCTGCATGCACCACACTAGGGATCTGGCCCACAATCTGGAGGTGTGCCCTGACTGAGAATCAAACTGGTGACCTATGGGTACATGGGTCAATGCTCAACCCCTGAGCCACAGTGGCCAGGCTTACTTTAGATTTTTTAAAAATATTTTTTACTGATTTTTTTTTTTTTTTAGAGAGGGAGAGAAAGAAACATTGATGTGAGAGCAACACATCGATAGGCTGTTCCAGTACATGCCTCAGCAGGGATCAAGCCTGCAACCAGGCCAGGGCTATTTTAGAATTTTTATTAGTTTATTTGAGCCAAATTGATGACATATGCCAGGGACCAAGATCTCAAATGCTTCCCTTTGTTGGTTTTATTTTATGATTGATTGATTATATTATTTATTTATTTTTCGAGAGAAGAGGGAAGAGTGGGAGAGGGAGATATTGGTTGCCTCTTACACACACCCCAACCAGGAATCGAACCTGCTACCTTTTAGTGTATGGGATGACACTCCAACCAACTGAGCCATACCAGCCAGAGCCCCTCTTTGTTGGTTTTAGACATTGCAAATCTCTCTTCCCAACTTCCATCATTAATTCTGTTAATTATCTTGGTCACTGAACAGAAATCCTTAATTTTGGTATAAATCTAGTAAGTCAGTTTTACTTACTTAGGGTTTGTGATTAAAAAAAAAAAAAGTTCTACGAGTCTATTTGAGCCACGCTAATAACATATGCAGGGAAGGGAAATAGCAAATGCTCCCCAGGTAAAATTTTTAGATGCATGCATTCTTTTATCTAAGAAACAAGCTTATCTTTTCCTATCATTTTTTTTGGTGGTACGTGCCCCTAGCGGGAACCGAACCCGGGGCTCTCTGGTCCGCAGGTTGATGCTCAACCGCTGAGCCACACTGGCCAGGGATCTTTTCCTATCATTACCATCTTATAGCCTGAACCTGTCTAAAAATTTCTTGATAAAGTACTTAGGGAAAGCAGTAAGGGATGATGTAAGAACAAAAGACTAGAAACCAGAAGACCTAAGTTCTAGTTCAACATTTGTGTGCATTAGCACATACTTGAGCATAATTTACTTAATTTCTCCATTTGCAAAATAGAAATAACTGTACTACATGATTTATAGGGATATATGGATGGTAAAACAAATTTATGTGAAAAGATATCCAAATTGTTAGGTATTCAAAGTAACCAATTACTATTATATAGTGCTTATAATTTCTAACCTCTCTACTTTTACACATGCTGTTCCCTTCTTCCAATATTGTCCTCATACAATCTGCACACACCAAAATGCTACCTAATCTCTTAGGATGTTAGAATGACATGAAACAGTAAGTATTATTTAAGTTACAACTTTATAAACTCAACAAAACCTTATTTGGGTTCCCAATTATCAAACAGATAAAAGAATCTCTGTAAGTAAAAAGGGCAGGAGACCAGAGCCCTGCTTGTTAGGCATCATCACCTTCCAGCACAGTAGCTCCTGCGACATTTCCAGGGAATCCCAGAACTCTAAAAAATAGTTGAATAATTAAGGCTCCAGCCAAGCCAATAAGGCTCAGCGGCTGAGCTCTGACCAAGACGTCACCAGTTCAATTTTCCAATCAGGCCTAGGTTGTGGGCCAAATCCCCAGTAGGGGAAGTGCAGGAGGCAGCCAATTGATGTTTCTCTCTTTCTCGCCATCTGGCTTCCCCTCTCTCTTAAAAAAAAAAAGAACATATACAAAAACAAACAAACAAACAAAATAAAGCTCCAAAAAGGAAAAGCAATTTATTCGCAGGCTTTCTACTAGTTAAGTCTCTGCTCTAGACGACTGAATTCCCAAAGGAATATGTCTGATCTTTGTAATCTCACTGTGCCTAGCAGCACTCAATGTGTACAATGAGTAAACATCCAAAGGAGAATAGAGTGATCCACCCCAGTTATTCTTTACCTACTGACCTTGGCTCCAATTATTTCACATTTATCCTTGCTCCAAACTCCTCTACAAAAACCTCCAGTCCAGTCAAATGCAGCTGCTTAATACTTACCACTTGCAATTTGAAGGCTGATGTCTTAGCTTAACAAAAGTATTCCTTGGTTTGTCAAAACCCTATCTAATGTTTCAGCACCCAATTCATATTTCTTCTCTTATATATTCTTCCCAATAACTCCTACCACAGTGTGCTCCTCTGAATGTATAATTCTTATCCAGATTCCTTTTGGGAGCAATTACTCATGTCCCCAGTAACACTTAATTGTTATACAATGGGGTCACATCTTAAATGAGGGTTAGGTTCTAAAGTCAGAACCTAAGGAAAGAAGTCAAAATTATGCTTAAAGTTCCATAGTCCTTCATAAGTATGGTAAGAGAGGGACCCTGTGAGAAACATGAGGGGACTAGGACTGCCTAAGACAGTAGATAAGCATCTTATGCTTACTATGGAACACAACTTTGAGTAAAACTTCTAGCAGAATCACCTGTACTATTTGTCACTCCTCATGGTGACAAAGGGAGAAACCACTATAGCTGCCTTTTGTAAGCTGAATGCATGTATGTCTCATCACTGAAGACTCAGCTATAAAAATTATCAAAGGCAGCAGTCTTTTTTGGGGGGATACTACATGCTTCCTAGTACACACATATATTAATTATAATAGGTATTTATTGATTTGATTTTGAAGTTCCTTGCCCCCAGAGTCAACAATATTTTAAATAATCCTACAACCAAATAGAAATATCCAGATTTTGCAGATGTGTCACTCACACAAACACACAAAACTGATCAGAGTTGCAAAGAAAATTCACTAGTACCATTATTAATACAATCTATAATATACTAGTAATATCTTCCTTAAAGAACTGGTTAAAGTAATGTAAACAAAACAAGATGTCAACTTACATCTTCATCTTCATTAAAAGCTGCTGCTACTGAAAGGGTTTTTGGAGCAAGAGTTGGAACAGTTTCTTTAGGTTTCTGGAGAAAAAAAACATATTAAGGATATGACAAAGCATTTACACAGGCTTAATAATATAAATAATTTATCCTCAAATATTCAACTTCACGTTTTCGTAGAAATAGTGAGAAACTCAGAACTTCGGACAAATTTTTGAAAATGTTGGTTATCAATGGGTAGCTTTACTTTATTGTCCATTTTTCCCCTTCTATAAAAGATTTCCTACTTAGGACCTATAATTTAGCTAATGGGCACTTGTACAGGTGAGAGAAAGTGATTAGTAATACTTTCCCATAGTAACATTAAAATTAAGTACAGTGTGCCTTGGGAACTTAAGACACCAAGACGCATCTTTCTACCAGCTAGCTTTCTGCCACATAGCCCATAAACATGCTTCATTCATACCATTCTTCTATCTAACCCAACTTTTTGAAGTAAATTGTCCTGTCTCCAATCCTCTCACCACCGATTCAGCCTTCAATCGATTGTAATCTGGCTTCCTCCCTTACCAATCTCCAGGATTCCTGACTCAACTAGAATCAGGTGACCCTGATTCTCTAGTCACCAACGACTAGTGTTCTGCATTTGACTCTAATCAGCAGCTCCTTTTTGAAAATACCTCTATACCTTGGCTTCTGTGACAGTTTTAACTGGCTAGTCTCCTCTAATTCTGACCTTTTATTCTCTCTCTCTCTCTCCCCCCCGTCCCCCCTTCAAATGACAGATACCCCAAATCCCGTCCTTAGTGACCTTTCCTTATCTATACTTCCTTAGTCAACTTCATTCATTCCCAAAGTTTTAAATAGTTTAAACTACGAAATCTGCCCTGGCCGGTTTGGCTCAGCGGTTGGATCATCGGCCTGCAGCCCAGAGAGTCCCGGGTTCGGTTCCTACAAGGGGCACATACCAAAAACAAAAAAACAAAGAACTACCAAATCCTATGTCTACTCTCAAACAGGATGTCCACTTAGAGCTCACAGAGGTACTTTAGATTCATAGCGTTTACAAGTACTAAAGCCAGAAAAGCTTTTCCTCAATTTGCATGTTATATTGTTAGGTCCTGTTGATTAGATTTACCTTATTTTCCACTACAATCCTTTGTACAGAGTGATCCATACAGTGATGTTTCTAAAATGCAAATCCGCTTAAGGGTCAATACTCCTTATAATGTTCTAAGGCTCTGCCAGAACCAAAAGAATAAAGCAAAACTATATTATGGAATTCAAGTCCTTCAAGATTTGGTCCTATGGTCTCAGTTTGGGGGCTTTCTGTATCTTGTATTTGCCTTCGAAACACTTTCCAAGTATAAACAATTTCCTGAATGTACCATGTGACTTCATATCTAAACTGCTTTTGCATGAAATTTCTTTTATCTGAGATGCCCTTTTGCCTCCTGCTTGCACTTAAGGCCAACTCACAGACCACTTCATCAGTGAAATCTCCTTTGACCTGCTGCAACAAAATTAACCATCCCCTTTTCTATTACATACACAAATACTTTTTATAAACAATGTCTACTTTTGAAGGAATAAAAAAATGTTCATTTGGAGCCCTGGATGGTTTTGCTCAGCGGTTAGAGTGTTGGCCCGTGGACCGCAGGGCCATGGGTTTGATTCTGGTCAAGGGCATGTACCAGGGTTGCAGGTTCAATCTCTGGCCCTGGTCAGGGTCATGCAGGAGGCCACTAATCAATGTGTCTCTCTCACATCGATGTTTCTCTCTCTCTCTCTCTCTCTCTCTCTCTTCCTCCTTCCCCTCCACTCTCTCTTTAAAAAAACAAACAAACAAACAACCAACCAAACAAAATCCTTGGGTGAGGATTTAAAAAAAAAAGGTTAATTTTGAGATTATGCATAATAACACTAGAAACATTCTAATCTTTTGAAGAAGTCATGTAGCCCTGGCCAGTCTGGCTCAGTGGTTGGAGCATCGGCCCGCAGACCAGAGAGTACTGGGTTCGGTTCCTGCGAAGGGCACGTACCTTGGTTGCAGTTTGTCTCCAGCCCCAGTTGGGGTCGTGTAGGTGGCAACCAGTTAATGTGTCTCTCTCACATCAATGTTTTTCTCTCTCTCTCTTTCCCCCTCTCTCCCTCCCACTCTATCTGAAGATAAATGCAAAAATGTCCTCGGGTGAGGATAAAAAAAAAAGAAGTCATGTATTTGTTGTAGATACAACATAAGACACAAGTAGTTGTTGGTTGATTGACTATCTTTTCATACCATATAATCAAAAGCAACAATTCCAACTATTTTTTATATCCTACACCTTAATGGTAGCTCTTATAAAACTATAAGTGTGGCTCACACTTATAATAGAAACTTGATCCATATCATATTTTTAAAGATCTTTGAATGAGCATCTAATGCAGAAAAAAGCTGTATGCATCTAGCAATGGAGCACTAATTTGCACAAAAGAGATGAATAAACAACTCAAAAGCAATTTTAAGATTTCTTTCCTTACACAAGAATGCAACTGTTTTCTACATATAAGTAACCTTTTTTAGTAAAGAGATCTACTTGGCTAAACCATACAAAATAGTCAGAAATAGTCAATTTTCTAAACCTCATGTGCTTCAATCTAATACTTCAAATACTTTCCAGATACCCCATAGTTCATAAGTATTAATTCAATCTTTACATATTAAAACAAGGGATCGAAAGTTGATCTGTATGAACCTAGTCACAGAATATCAATAAATGTCCATGTGCAGCTCCAAAGTAAGGTAATCAGGAAACTTCTTATCGAGAAATACTTTACTAATATTAACCTTTTAAGATAAAATAACTAATTTCTAGGAAGATTCTTTTTAATATTGGTAGAATTGAAAGATATGAAAAATAAGCTGAAATTCTTTCTGAAAATGTTTAGAGGTTTTGCTCAACTAAGAAAAATTCTAAGCTATTACTTTATTTTTAATTTTTGTGTTAATCCTCACCTGAGGATATTTTTTCCAGTGATTTTAAGGGAGCGGGGAGGAGGGAGGGATGGAGAGGGAAGGATGGAGGGAGAGGGAAGAAAGCATGGGAGGGGGAAAGGGAAAGAGGGAAAAGGGAAAAGAGGGGGGAGGGGAGGAGGGGGAAAGGGAGAAAGTGGGGGAGGGAGAGGGAAAAGTGGGGGAAGGAGGGAGAGAGGGGGAGGGGGAGAGAGACAGAGACAGAGACAGAGAGAAACCTGGATGTGAGAGAGACACATCAACTGGTTGCCTCTCAAACTTGCCCTGACTAGGACACAGGACTGAACCTGCAACCCAGGTATGTGCCCTTGAGCAGAACCGAACCATTCAGTGCTCAGGCTGGCGCTCTAACCACGGAGCCTCACCGGCCAGGACAAAGCTATTACTTTATAAATCATATAATTCCTGTAACAGTTGTTCCTTCTTATATTCCAAGCCTTTTAAAAAAATAACTTTACTAAGATATAATTATCCAGATCTTTTTTTTGAACATTAAATACTTATATATAACTCATTAAATACTTATATAAGTTCATGTATCTTAAAAAAATACACACACACACATAAATATATATTTTTTTACTGATTTTTTTTTAGAGGAGAGGAAGGGAGAGAGAGAGAGAGAGAGAAAAACATCAATTGGCTGCCTCCTGCATGCTCCTTACTGGGGATTGAGCCTGCAACCCGGACATGTGCCCTAACCAGGAACTGAACTGGGACCTCTCTGTCCTTAGGATGATGCTCAATCCACTGAGCTACATCTGCTTGGCTCATGTATCTTTTTATACTTAATTTACCTAATTCAATAAAAGCACGTTTCCAAAACAAATCTTAAGACCCATTACGAATATCAAATACAAAATAACAACTCACACTTGATCCAAGTTTGATGGATATGGCTGAGGCTTTCTTTGTCGTCTGACTACCTATGGCAAATCCAAACTTGGAGATCTTTGTAGGCTTTGATGGGAGTTCTGCAGCTTCTTCTTCAGCTGATCGCTTCTCAGCGCTGCGACTGGAACTTTCCCCTCCATTACTGGAAGAAACAGTCTTAGTTTTCACAGGTTTTTCTGCTTCTTCTTCAGGTCCTGGTGAAGTCGAAACAACTTACCAAGATGAGCTATTTTTACTGAGCAGACTGATGGGAGCAGCAACCTCAAAAAGCATAGTTATAAGGAAGATACCTCTGCAGCTGTCACCTACTGACCCAACAGTCTCTTCCACTGTTTGCTAGAGTATACAGCAGGAACTGAGATTGTGTGGCAGTAGAAGAGGCTCCCATGAATTAACTAGCATAAAATGCAGAGCAATTTAAAATAACCAGAGAGTTCACAAAAAAGTAAAGATCTTTCAACTAAACACTGTAAATTGTACAATAATCTAGTTATTTGTGAGATTTTGTTTTTTAGAAATTAAGGTCTGTAAATTGTTCTACACAAACTAGTTTGTAAGCAAGTAGTAACATCATAGGATAATACATCTGACAAATAAATTCTAATATTCTTCAATAATATACTATTAGTTATACAAAGTACCTGGTTATGAGCAGGCCATTATTACCTGAACTGCTATGTTAATAAAACCTGGAGTAATTTTCTTGAGTGATATGTTCCTCATGTAAATCTCACACAACCTTTACTTGTAAAGGAACTTCAAGGAAGACTACAAGGTCATCACCTTTTGAATAATTCTACTCTGAAGGTTTGGTTATCACCTGTTTTATGCTACCCTTAAGTGCTTTTAACAATCATACATAGATTTATATGTTACTTTTTCTCATGAAAGAAAGATGAGCTAATTATAATTTCAAGCAGAGGGCATACATACATAAGTTTGGAATACAGTATGTCTTTCAGTAATTTTGCGTGTGTATTAATGATGAAATTAATTCACATTTTGGATATCTTAGATATGTTATACAAGGCTAGTTAAGAACATATTGGCTATTATTAAAATCCTTATATTCTTTTCTTAGTTTACCAATTCACTCTATAGAATGTATTCTGCTACACTGGATGGTTTATTTATGGAGAAAGATAAAATGCTCTAGGGATAGCCCTGAAACAGTACAAAAAGCTTGGAGGCAGGGGAAGGGAAGAAATGAAACACAAATTGACAAGTAATGGATTAAAACACAGGAGGCTCTAGATCTCCATCTATATAGTTTTGGAATTATAGGATCTCTAGTTAATAAACACTTTGAACAGAACAACTGATTTTGTTTAGAGGAAAACTAAAAGGAACTCTTTATTTCCACGGACAAGAAGTAAGAGTTGTAATGGCAATGTAGGAAAGGAATTAATAAGCAGGATTAGGTTTTGAGATTTCACCAGGAGGTACCCTTCATTTACACAGAAATGAAATTTCAAAAGCACCTGAAGAAAGATAAACTGCTATTTAATAGTTGAAATACAGAACTCAATTCAGAATTTCTTTTTAAAAAGTATTCTGTATGCCCTGGCCGGTTTGGCTCAGTGGTTGGAGCGTCGACCTGCAGACCAGAGTCTCAGGTTCGATTCTGGTCAAGGGCACGTACCTTGGTTGCGGTTTGTCCCCGGCCCTGGTTGGGTCATGCAAGAGGCAACCAGTTGACGTGGCTCTATTACATCGATGTTTATCTGTGTCTCTCTCTCCCCCCCTCCCACTCTATCTGATAATAAGAAGAAAAATAACCTCAGGTGAAGAATTAAATTTAAAAAAAGTATTCTGTAAACAGAGTTTTCAAAGTCTGTTTATAATTAAAATCATCATCAATGCTAAATTTTATTCTGCATGCTATTTATAGTTTTAATCACATAAATTTTAGTCAACCTGAATAGTGATAACTTCTTTGTTATCACTAAACACAGCTAAAATGGAAAACTCTATAAACTGGAACATACAGACACCCTGAAAAGAAATAAAGAACATTTAGTCTGATTGTAGTGTAACTGCTCTTTGAACTGTGACTTAAGGGCTATAATTAGTCAAGATTTCCTGTTCTTTAGAAACCTATCTTTACCTAATTCTAGGTCTCCTATTATCCAGAAAATAATTTTGAAATAAACAAAAAAATCTAGAAAAACTAAAGCATAAATGATAAGAAGTGAAAACACAATTCTTACCATAATGTTAACATTAAGTGTGACAACTGGCTGAACAAGTATACAATCGTATATGTCCAAATGCATGATGCTGTAGGGAAGATTTCTAAAGACTGCTCTAGAAAAAGGCAGGATGAGCCCTGGCCGGTTTGGCTCAGTGGTTGGAGCATCGGCCTGCAGACCAGAGTCCCGGGTTCGGTTCCCACTAGGACACGTACAAAAAAAAAAAAGGTAGGATGAAAAGGGGAGCTGGGAAAACTATAATTAAGTAATCAACTTGCAGCAACTCCATTTTATTCACATCTGTGTTTTTGTCATCTGAAGAGGCAAACTATTAAGACCACCTACACCTCAAGTGCACACTGAAGATTAAACATACTAGGTGTATTAGGTCATGTCTACACATGCCTGATTACATTTCCAGCACTTTATTTCTGGATATAGTAAAAAACTGGCCTTGCTCACTCTCAAGATGTTTTTGTTTATTTGTTTGTAAACAATTATAAACACTCAGTTGCTTTAGAAAACATCTATTCTTCAGTAAAAAGTAAAAAGGTCGGGGGGAGTGAAGGAAAGTGGGTGCGTATTAGTACTCATTACTCTGCGTGCACTGAACTGTTATTTTCATGTAATCCTCTTCTAACAATTATGTAGTAAGATACTTAACACATTTAGGAAAGAAAGCAAATAAAATAAGCAATTATGTAAAGGGAAAATATAACAGCCAAATTTACATATTACAGTGTGATTGTTATAATTTACAGTTCTATATATAGCTCATTAGAAAATTATTTCAACCTAATGTAAGCTTTGAAACATAGCATTAAATATCAACATCAATTTTTTTTTTTAAATCCTCACCCGAGGACATTTTTTCATTTTTTGTTCAGATACCAGTGGGACGAAGGGAGAAGGAGGGGGAGGGGGGAAAGAGAGAGAGAGAGAGAGAGGGAGAGAGAGAGAGAAACATCGACTGGCTGCCTCCAGCAAGACCCAACCAGGGCTGGGGACAAACTGCAACCGAGGTAGGTGCCCTTAGGGGGAACAGAACCGGAGTCTCTCTGGACCGCAGTCCAACGCTCTAACGGGTCGGGGCTCAACATCAATTCGTAAGTCCATCAAGTACTTTCCTTTAAACACAACATGTACTACTACTTTAATATTTAGAAATTTTAATAAAAACTAGTGTTTTCAATGTTTAATGAAATGTTTTTTATTTTGAAACTGGAAAACAAAATTTTGGATGACCATAGATTTTTGAAAATGTTTAGCAATGTGGCTTATAAAGGATGGATAAGTATGTAGTCAGTTTTTTAAAAATAAGAAAATAATTTAAAACAAAACTTGTATACTTGTATTCTTTACCAAGAAATATTTTAATAAAAGGGATTTTATCTAGTTTATATTTATTCTGAGCAAACAAAATGTGTAGATTAATGTGAAGCCAAATTACACATTGTACAAGTATCCTCCCTCCCCCCGAATAGTTGGGAAGAGGAGGGCCTTGGAGCACAAAGGTATCGTTGAAAAAAAATTACCCATTAAGAAAGTTTAGGGGTACCCTTCACGACCCATTTACACACTGATAGTTTCAGCTAAAAAAAAAAGAGGGGGGGGCATGCTGCTACCTCTCTAACAGGACAGATGTGCAGGTTAAATGAGAATGAACATATTTAAGACCTGCCTAGTGTTTGGCATAATCAATGTCAATTTCATTAAAGTAGATCTTAGATAACCTACAATATCCTGAAATGGTCATGATTATGATATGAATAGTTCTTCGCTAAAATTCCTATTTATTTCAAGAAGCTACAAAAAAATCTAGCCAAAGGGAGAAAGGGAAAAAAAATCTACCTTAGGCCTCACCCTTAGCATTATTGCTCCTCTTTAAGGTGACAGCAGGTAGTTCAAGTAAGTAGCTTCTCTTATTCACATAAATTCATGTTAACTATGCAAGTAATCTCATAAAATATACTTATACTTCCAATTTACTGGACTGTTCAATAGGAATTAAAAATCAGAATATTCTCCAAATAAGCCCTTACAATAAACTTCATAGTGTTTCAAAACAGTGCCTACTGGCCACAATATGATCAATTTAGCATTATCTACTGTAGTGAATGTTTTCTTTTAATTTTTAAATATGTTTTTATTGATTTTAGAGAGGAAGGAGAGGGAGAGAAACATCAATATAAATGAGAAACATTGATGTGAAAGAGAAACAACCTCCTGCACGCCCCCTACTGGGGACTGGGCCCAAAACCCCAGGCAGGTGACCTGACCAGGAATGAACCAGTAACCTTCTGGTGCATGGGTCCATGCTCAACCAAATGAGCCACACTGGCCAGGGCTCCATTGTATTAAATGTTCTAATGATTCCTTTGTACAACTTCATTAGAAATATCTGACATGCAGCCCTGGCCGGTTTGGTTCAGTGGGTGGAGCATCGACCTGCGGACCAGAGAGTCCTGGGTTCGGTTCCCACTAGGGGCACACCCCCCCCCCCAAAAAAAATCTGACATGCAAAAATGGTTTATATGCACCCTAGCCACTGTGGCTCATTTGTTTAGAGCAGTGGTTCTCAACCTTCCTAATGCTGCCTAATACAGTTCCTCATGTTGTGGTGGCCCCCAATCATAAAATTATTTTCTGTGCTACATCATAACTGTAATTTTGCTACTGTTATGAATCACCATGGGAAATGTGTTTTCCGATGGTCTTAGGCGACCTCTGTGAAAGGGTCGTTCCACCCCCAGGTTGAGAACTGCTGCTTTAGAGCATGGTCCTGTACACCAAAAGGTGGTGGGTTCCATTCCCCATCAGGGCACATACCTAAGGTTTCAGGTTTAATCCCCAGCTGGGCATATGCAAGAGGCAACAGATGTTTCTCTCTCACATCGATGTTTTTCTCTCTCTCAAATATAAATAAATAAATAAATAAATAAATAAAATGGTACCTCTTTAAAAAAAAAGTTTCTATGTAACAACACTCTTTTCTTGCAAAGAAAGGCACACCTGAGAGAAATTATGTAGGCGTTAAGGGATATTACTTATTCTAAGTCACCTACCTACAAAGAAACCATAATAATTTTTAGTAACAATTTAGTAAAGATAATTTTATTTCCCCCCCACAAAAACATGCTAAAACAGAAACATTAATATTTATACTAGAACTAATTATCCCTAACTGAAAGAGTGGTGGATAAATTATAAAATGGAATTATCCTAATACTTAAAAAGTACACTTTGACAGCACATTAAATTATCTCCTATACTCTCAGTCAAGACAATTAAAAAAGCCAGTTTAAAAGCCAGATAAGATTCTTTAGGTTACAGATTTTTATTTTTCCTCAAATAACTAATTTTTCATGTAACTTTATTCAATAATTTCCAGGACAACTTTTGGAGGAAAAAAGTCCCTAGTGAGGTAGTAAAACCAGGGGCGCGTGGGAGAGAGGAAAGTTTGGCTCAACTAATAGCACTGTACATAAGCTTTTAATTTTTTTTTTTTATCCTCACCCGAGGACATTTTTCCATTTTTTGTTCAGGTAGAGTGGGAGGGAGGGAGAGGAACAGAGAGAGAGAGAAACATCGATGTGAAAGGAACACATCGAGTGGCTGCCACCCGCACAACCGACCAGGGCCGGGGACAAACTGCAACCGAGGTACATGCCCTTAGCGGGAACTGAACCCGGGTCTCTCAGGACCGCAGGCTGACGCTCTAACCGCTGAGCCAAACCGGCCAGGGCTGTACATAAGCTTTTAAAAGGAAATTTCTGGGTCCAAGTAACTGAATATTTCACTTTTCTCAATTTTTGTTCCAAGGCAATTCACATTAGACATCACATTAATAGTTCTTGCTTTCAAATGCTATTAATGTTCTGTATTTCCTTGTTAAATACCTTCAGGAATAAGAACTTCAGGGAGTTAGAATAGAGAGTAATACTTAAAACGTTCTAAAGATACTACGATCAGCTCGCACGTGTTCATTTAGTTGCCTTGTTACGACAATGGGTGGCTGCAGATCTTACGTTTCTTTTCCTTAATGCATGAGACCCAAATTTACAGGGTGGAGGAGACAAAACAAAGATAGCCTAAGCTTATATCCTAACGATACAGGAAGAGCCACACTAGCCTATTTAAACACCCAAATCCCTGGCATGCAGATAGCTGGCAACAGAAAAGGTAGACACTCCAAAGAAAGACAACCAAATCCTAACCCTAGCCTCCGCAGCTTCAACCAGCCAGCAGACAATGGTATTCATTCCCCCTTTCCTCCACCGCCTGGACCCATCCCATTAAGGGTCAGTATTCAGCTTGAAAATAAAGAGAAAAGGCCGGGGTCGTCCACCTCTTCGACGAGAAGCAGCAAACTAAGCCCTAGATGTAACTGAGAGGCCGGCAGAGTCGGAAACTTGGCCTGCGGCCACTGCCCGGCGACTCCCACTACGAGTGTGCCAGTGTTTCGTGTAATGTGCGTCTCCAGTGTGGTGGTAGCGGCTCCTGCACCGCCGCCCCGGGTCCCACCCCGACTTCGGTTCCCCATTCTGGTGCCCATCTCCCTTCTCCTCGGAAGCGGGGCCTCTGCTGGGGCCAGGAGGTGATGAACTGTGGCCGAGTATCCCCCGTGGAGAAGGCGATGTGGGCCCGGATCCCAGCGGCCCGCACCAGGCGTGCCCGGGGTTCATTTGGGCCCTGCACCTGGCCGGGTGAACGCCAGATCCGCCCATTCTCGCCCCACCCTAGCCCTCCACCCCAGGAAGCTCAAAGAAGGCCCAGAGCATCCCACTCATCCCGCAACGCTGGGGTTGTGTTCACCTCCGGCGGCTCCAGCTCGCTGCGGCTTCTCCGCCTTCTCCTCTCCCGCCTTCCCGTCCGCCATTTTGCCCGCCGCGGCCTCCCTGCAGCCACGCCAAGGACGTCACGGCCCCGCCCAGAAATCGTCGAGATGCGGAGCCGGCGGGCGAGGCAGCAGCCTAGAGCGGTCCCTAGAGTGAAAAGAGGCCCTTTGGAACCGGAAGTGGATGTGACATCATCGAGGAGCGGACTCTGAAGGAAGGGCGGGGGAGGTTGGGCGTACTCCATGAGGACTAGTTAGGGACTTGAGTGACTAGAGTTCGGTTAAGTTTTCATAGTCCAGTGGCGGGCCCACACAAGTGACAGGAGGTGGGAGCATCACCTTGGAAACGTTGGTGGGAACCGTGTAAGGTTTCTGCAGACTAGGGTGTGGTTGCAATTTAAGCTAGCCGACTTTCATTTCAAAGAAAAAAAAGTAGGGCCGTATTTTTGGATACTTAAGAGGGAAATTAGCGTTTATTGAGCGCCCTCTTGTGTTAGACACTATTCCGTTGATTCCCCAGAATAGTTCGTTGTGGAATTATCCTCTTTTAATTGTGGGTTGAGGCCAGAGTAGTTTGTCCAAGGACAGTAGCCAAGTGGTAAAACTAGTTTTTCTAAAGGCTGCAATCAAGTTATCAGAAGTTACTTTGTTGTAGACCAACAGACCAGGCTCAGACTCTGAACTGGGTTCAAATTAAGAGAGCTTTATTAGCTGCACGGCAACTGTCCCATCCTACACAGAGGAGAGGGCAGCCCCGAGCTTGGGGAGGGTTGCTTATATAGTTGTCTTAGCCCCTGTTAAGGAATTTGGGCTAAAGGTTTGCGAGCAAGCAAGCACGTACAGAAGCAGATATCTGCGGTTAGCCGTTATGCCTGAGGGATAAATTAACTATACAATGGGTTAGCTGTTACGCCTGAGGGATAAATTATACAATTGGTTAACTCTGGCTGATGTGTAGCTCCTTCCTTGCTTAATGGAAAAAATCTACTGTATGTTCACATAGCATGTGTTTGTCCTTAACAACTTGATTAGGTGAAGACTGCAGTAATTAATTTCTGCCTTGGAAATCTTCAGTGGAGCCAGTGTTTGCAGAATGAGGTTCAAGCATTATGTTGGCCCCTGCCTAACTTTTCAGCCTCATCTTCCGTTTCTATTATACTGCCCTTTTGTCATACAGGGTTTATTGCTTGCCTAGGGAACTGGAGGTTCTGGGTTTGCCCTACTAATACCATGAGTATTACAGAAACTGTTCTTAAGGAGTCAGAACTTGGGGTTTGAATACCCTGATCTGCCCCTTACTGGCTGAGTAAACCCTGAGGGTTTTTTACTGTCAACAGGACCTATATTTTCTTCTCTATAAAATAGAAATAATAGTATCCCCTGAAAGAGTGGTCATAAGGATCAAGTGAGATAGTTTCTGTTTACCATTGTCTGGTCACTTTATACTTCCTTCAGTATGTGTTAAGAAAAAAAAGTTGTTTCCCTAGATGGCTCAAAAGTTCTTTGACAACAAAGACCTTTTTTCCCCCCAACAGAGACCTATTTTTTTTTTCTTCACAGCACTTTGTATTGTGCATTTCATATATGAAAGGAGCTTAGTATTTGTAGTTGGATGACTCCTCAGGCTCCAACTCTAGAGAATGGAGAAAGAATTACAGTATGTCTCATGACGAAAGCAGGGTGGTTTAGGGATTGGGTGATGTAAGTCCCTGGTCCACAATTTATGACAGAATATGTAAACATGCCCAGCAAAATATTTTACATAGAGCAGGTAATTAATTCAAGTTTGTTTTATTTTTCCCCAGATTTGATCTTCACTAGTTATTAATCACTGAGACTCTCACTTTTATAAATTTTTTCTTCATTGATTTTAGGGGGGGAGAGAGAGAGACATCCATGAGAGAGAACATTGATTGGCCACCTCCTGCATGCCCCCACTGGGGATTTGGCCCACAACCTGGGCATGTGCCCTGACCGGGAATCCAATCGATGACCTCTTGGTGCATGGGTCATCACTCAACCACTAAGCCACACTGGCTGGGCTCGCTTTTATAATTTTTAAAAGAGACATAAACATGAGATGTTTAAATGTGTAATTATGTATTTATTTATAGATGCCTGTACTTTTTAAAAAATCCTCACTCGAGGATACGTTCCTACTGATTTCAAGAGAGGAAGGGGAGAGAGAGAGAGACAGAAACATCAATGTGAGAGAAAAACATCAATTGTCCCCTCCTTTACACATCCCAACCAGAAAGCGAATCTGCAACCCTTTGGTGCATGGGATGACACGCCAACCAAGCGAGCCACCTGGCTGGGCTAGATGCCTGTATTATTATTTATTTATTTATTCATTTATTTATAAAACCCTCACCTGAGGATACGTTTCCATTTGTTTTTCAGAGTGGGAGGGAGAGAGAGAGAGAGAGAGAAACACTGATGTGAGAGAGACACATAGATTGGCTGCCTCTCAAATGAGCCCAACTAGGGCTAGGAACCAAACTGCAACCAAGGTACGCTCATACCTTGACCGGAATTGAACCTGAGACTCTTTGGTCTACAGGCCGATGTTCTAACCACTAAGCAAAACTGGCCAGGAATGTGCCTGTATTTTTATTTTTATTTATTTATTTTTCTTTATTGATTTTTACAGAGAGAGGAAGGGAGAAGGAGAGAGAGAGAGAGACAGAGAGAGAGAATGAGTCATCGATGAGAAAGAACATCAATTGGCTGCCTCCTGCATGCCCCCACTGCGGATTGGGCCCACAACGTGGGCATGTGCCCTGACCTGGAATCGAACTGGGGACCTCTTGGTGCATGGGTCGACGCTCAACCAATGAGCCACACCAGTCAGGCGATGCCTGTATTTTTAAATGAGGGAAATTAAGTTCAGAAAGGTCAGGTACAGATATTTAAGAACAGATCAGGTTCCTTATACCACACTGTAGAAGTTAAGGATGGACAGTATTAATCCATTCACTTGTCAGTTCTCCATGAAGTCTTATCTTGCTCACCTTTGTTTCCCAGAACCTAAGTTATACCAGTTTCAATAAATATTCACTAAGGTAATGAATGCAAGCTCCAGTAACCCCCAACAAACGGGTTAGGAAATGAAAAGGCAGGGCAAAGAACAATAGCATTGCATCAGACAAAATTGAATTTAAATTCTAATTCTGCCATTTGCTAATTCTGTGAGTTTGAACTGATAAAGCAATTTTACTGATCATGTTTTAACTATAAAAATGTAGTAATACTTATGGTGTTACTGAGAAGATTGAGATAATACAGGCAAAATTTGTAATACAGTGCTTAGCCCCTGGTGGGCTGTTGCTTAATAGTAGCTATTGTTTGTAACCTCTAAGAGATACTCTAATAATGGTTTAAACAGGTGGAAGTGGCAGGTAATATGCACAATTATTTTAATTTAAATGTGTAATTTGTGAAGTGACTACTATAATATCCAATACTCATGCTTACTATATGCCAATCATAGCTTGCAAGTTTAAAATTTTTATTATTATTTTGTAATTGATTATAGAGAGATAGAAAGGAAGAGGCGGGGAGAGAGAGAGAGAGAAAGAGAAATATCAACATGAGAGAGAAACATCAATTGGTTGCCTCCCAAACTCGCCCCGACCAGGGATTCGAAACCTGGGTATGTGCCCTGATTGGGAATCGAACCTTTGATCCTTTGGTGCACAGGACAACACTCCAGCCTACTGAGCCACATTGGCCAACACAGTTTGCAAGTTATTTTTTTAATTTATTGTTGTTGTTGTTGATGTTGTTAATCCTCACCCGAGGATATTTTTCCATTGATTTTTAGATAGAATGGAAGGGGGTGGGGAGGGGAGAGAAAGAAACATTGATGTGAGAGAGACACATCAATCAGTTGCCTCCCACAACACCCCGATCAGGTCTAAGGATTGAACCTGCAACCCAGGTTTGTGCCCTTGACTGGGAATTGAAACCTTTGGTCCTTGGGCCGACACTCTAACCTGTGAGCCAAACTGGCCAGGGCAGTTTGCAAGTTTTTAACATGATGTCAAGTACGTTAAATCTTTGCAACAACCCAAATAATTAAGTTCTACTATTACTCTCACTTTTATGGAAGAGGAAACTGGATCACTGAAAAGGTAAGAGGTGGAATTGAACTGGGAATTCAAGCAGAGAGCTACAACAAAATCAGAGGAATTGTGGTTTCACTAACCTTGAGTGATTTCTTAATGCAGCCTTGTAATCCTATTATATTTCCCTGTACCATTCTTAAATTTTAGTGTACTTAATACACATCAGAACCACCTGAAAAGCTTGTTAAAATGTCAAGCTAGCCCTGGCCAGTTTGCTCAGTGGTTAGAGCCTGTGGACTGAAGGGTAGTGGGTTCAATTCTGGTCAGAGCATGTCCTTGGGTTGCAGGTTCAATCCCGGGCCCCGGTCTCCCAATCAATGTGTGTCTCTCTCTTCCACTCCCTCCTTTTCACTCCAGCTAAAAAATATCCTCAGGTAAGGATAAAAACAAAACAAAACCCAAAGTTAAAACTCTAACACCAGTTTCTGATTGAGTAGACTCGGGTGGGGCCCAAAATGTACATTTCTAACTAGTTTCCAAGCAGTGTTGATACTGCTGCTTTGAGGACCACACTTTGAAAACCACCAACCCCAATTCATTCATTTTCCTAGACTATTTCACACTTTCTGCACGATCCAAAAACATCCAGTATCTCCTCCCCCTTAGCTGATGATGTTTCTTCTTATTTTCACTGAACAAATAATAGAAATCAAAACGAATTCTATATATTCTCTCCATATGTATGGTGGTACCTGCATTTGTCCTTATATTTTCTATCTTCCTTTCTGTTGCTTAGGCAGTAGATCCCATTCTTTTTATTTACACAAAGTTTCACTCCTCTCCACTGTTTCATCAGAACCCCCTCCCCCACTATTGGATCATTCTCAACAGCATACATACATGACTATATATTTCTTATCTACAAAATAAAAACAAAAGACTCTTAGTCTCCTGTCTCCCTCTAGTTCATTACTTTCCCCCTTCATATAGAAACTCTTTGAAAGGTTTGTTTATACTCACTATCTCCAATATCTCTTTGCTATTTGGTAACTATCACCTTTGTTATTGCTCACATAGCAGAGAGACAGAGAGAGAGAGAGAGAGACTAATATTACTTATTACCATCTGACATTTTACATATTTATGTCTGCCTCCTCTCTGCCCAGAATATAATATCCATGAAGGCTGGGAGTACTTTGTTCACTGATGAATCACCAACATTTAAAACACTTCTGAGCACATACTAGGTTCTCAATAAATATTTGCTAAATGAATGAATGAGCCAATGAGGAAGTTAAGCTGCTAGAGTGAGAAAAATAAAACAATTGCTGTGATATGAAAATCAAGGAAGAAGTACTTTAAAGAGAGAAGAGTTCAGTAGATATGTTATGGAAATGGCCACTGAATCTGGCTAGAAATTATAGAATTGATGTAAGCACAAAGCAGATCACAGGGTTATCAAGTAGTGCTCTAGAGCTGCACTGGTCAGTGTGGCAGCCACTAGCTACATGTGGCTATTAAGCACTTGGAATGCTTGCTTAAAGGATCTGGCCTAAGTATAACTAAATTCCAGTAGGTAATATTGTAGGGGTAACAATAGCAAGTATGACCAGGTAGCCCAGTTGGTTACAGCATTGTCCCAATACACCAAGGTTGTGGTTCAATCCCCAATCAGGACAAGCAAGAATCAACCAATGAATGCATGAATGGGTGGAACAACAAACTGATGTCTCTCTCTCTCTCTCTCACCAATTAAAAAATAAAATGGTTTTAATTATTAAAAGCTGGGAAGTTGGTGGCATGTTTGAAAAGAGCAAAAGGAGAGAACTAGAAATGGTATTACATAAAAATGTCTGTGATATGTAAAAAGGGGAGACAATCACAACATAGGCAACAAAAGTTGCCTTCAAAATAGAATATAGAATAAATAATTGGGTGTTTGAGGTAATGTAAAAGACATTACTTCCTACTTAGTTCCCTGTGAAAGTTTGGAGAAATTGAAGCAGCATCTGGGATTCTGTTTTTAGAATTTTTAAGAAAATTTTAGAATTTGGAAAATTAAAATCAGCTAGTTCAAGCTGGATGAGATTGACATTGATTTATCTACATAAGAGAAAAGCAGTCTTAGAAATCAGTTCTTGCTTGGCTATTTGGAAAGGGTATTTTCCTTTTAATTCTAGTGTTGTATTACTGAAATAACAGCATATTGTTACACAGAAATAATAATGTACTCCTTAAGGGACACAATAACTTGTATATACTACTAGAAATTCCATACATTCCAATAAAATTCCATTCCATTTGAATAGGTAGACTGAATATTTACTTAGCACTATGTGTCAGACACTATATTAAGTGTTTTACTTAAGAACTATTTCTAATCCTTTTATAGATAAGGATAACACATTTCAAGAGATTAAGCAATTTAAGCAATGTCAGAGCCTGTGAGGATGGAACTGAGCTGGAACCCAGGGAGCAAGGCTGGGAGACCAGTGAGGTGCCCCTACGAGCCTTATTTATTTAAAACAATTTTTTCTTTATTGATTTTATAGAGAGAGGAAGGGAGAGGAAGAGAGGGATGGAAACATCGATGAGAGAGAACATCGACTGGCCGCCTCCTGCATGCCCCCCACTGGGAATTTGGCTCACAACCTGGGCATGTGCTCTGACCGGGAATCGAACCTACAACCTCTTGGTGCATGGGTCAGTGCTCAACCACTGAGCCAAACTGGCTGGGCCCTCTGAGCCTTATTTACCTCACTCTAGTGCTGGTCCTGCCAGGCAACCTTAACCTTTTACACTTTAACCTCTATGCTGTTTTAACTTCAATGTATCTCAAGCAATTCAAGTATTAACACCTTACTATAATAGGGTCTAACAGTTGGAATTCATATCAATTTTAAATTTACACATCACTTCGTCAAGGACCTTCCTGATCCCAAAAGTTTAGGTTAGGCATACCCTGTTTTTCCATTGCATTTTATACTTATGTAGATTAAAATCTGGTACTTTATTTTTTTAATTTATTTTTTTATCCTTACCCAAGGACATTTTTCCATTTTTGTTCAGATAAAGTGGGAGGGAAAGAGAGAGAAACATCAACGTGAAAGGGACATATTGAGTGGATGCCTCCCGCATGACCCCAACCAGGGCTGGGGATGAATCGAAACCCAGGTATGTGCCCTTGACAGGAATCGAACCTGCAACTCATTGGTCCGCTGGGCGACGGTCTAACGGCTGAGCCAAACTGGCCAGGGCAAAAAGCTTGTATTTTAAGTCAGACAGATTTTTTGAGATGATACTTAAAGGCCAAATTATTATTTTTATTTATTTTATTCTCACCCTAGGACATTGTTTGCATTTATCTTCAGTTAGAGCAGGAGGGAGAACGGGAGGAAGAGAGAGAGAGAGAGAAACATCGATGTGAGAGAGACATATCTACTGGTTGCCACCCACATGACCCCAACTGGGACCGGGGACAAACTGCAACCAAGATATGTGCCCTTAGCGGGAACCAAACCCGGGTGTCTCTGGTCCTCAGGTCCACACTCTAACCGCTGAGCCAAACTGGCCAGGGCAAAGGCCGAATTATTTTGAGTAAATTTTCCTTATCTGTAAAAAACGTATTAATAGTACCTGTAACCTAGTTGTTTAAATAATTCAGGTAAACTGCATTCTGTTTGGCACAAAGTAGGTACATAGTATTTGGTAGAAGTTAGGGCTCGCACCCTGGCCGATTTTGCTCAGTGGTTAGAGCGTCGGCCTGTGGTCCAGAGAGACCTGGGTTCGGTTCCCGCTAAGGGCACGTACCTCGGTTGCAGTTTGTCCCCAGCCCTGGATGGGTCATGTGGGTGGCAACCACTCGATGTGTCCCTTTCACATCGATGTTTCTCGCTCTCTCCCTCCCACTCTATCTGAACAAAAAATGGAAAAATGTCTTCGGGTGAGGATAAAAAAAATAAAATAAAAGTTAGGCCTCGCTTTAAGAAATATATTGGATAGCATCTTATGCTAGTTTTCATTTCAGAAACTAGGAAGAAATGCTTGGCCATACATCCCTATTTCCTATGTTTTAAAAAAAATTCAGTGGCGCAGGTAGTCTACAATAAACATGGTTCCTAAAGTTCATTTCTTAGGAAATAAGTATACATTTTCTCAAGCATATTAGGACTCATTAGGTAGCAAGTGGCAGAAACCCAACTCAAAATGGCTTAAGCAAAAGGGAATTATTAGAGGGATACCAGGATATCATATGAGGTTTGACCAACCAATAAATGCTAAAGGAAATCTACAGCTAGATAATCGGAGGCAGAGATTTGAATAGCTCCAGAAATTGGTCTTATTTCTGAAGGTAAGCTTCACTCTCTCCTGGTTTCCGTCATAGAAAGTGACATGTCCACCACCAATTCTGGAACTTCCTGTCAATGTCCATCACCAGAAAGGAACTAACACCACCGATCTTACTTCTCAAGCCCCCAAAGTATTGGAAATGTGTTGTGACTGGCCTATCTTAAAGTCAGATGCCCACCTCTCAGCTTGAGTGAGTTGTCTCCTTTGAGATAATCAGCTGTGGCCAAGAGAGTCAAGTCTCTAAAAATAGGGCAAATTTCATTCAAATCATATGGCTGGAGAAAAGGAACTATTTCCTAGAAAAGAAAAGCCATATACACTATAGTAGGAAAGTGCTGTATGGAACACTTATCAAATAAATCCTTTTCTTTTAAGAGGAAAAGAAATGAGTTTTATCCCTCCAAATCCATTTTTCATCATACATTTTCATATGACACACCAAGAGATTGCTTAACATTTTAATACTCAGTTAAACAATATACCTTAGTCCTATGACATGTCCAGCACTGTATCAAATGTTCCTTTAATAAGTGAATGACCACCTGAGGTTTAGAAATATTTTGTCAATTTTTGATGAAAGGGTAGTTGCTGACATGGCTAAAAGAACATTTTAGAAGGAAAATGGACTTAACAGATTCATAAAAAAACCACACTAATGATACAACTGTTTTAATGGCTTCAACAAATTTGAACAACTCTTTTTATTTTCTAAGATTAAGTTTCTTTTTATACTAAACAATATATTTCCAAAGTTTTACAGATAATTAATTGGGGAAAGATACAATACTTCAGTTAGTTTGGAAAGGTAACTCTTTAAAGAGCAAGTGAATTCCATCCAGGAAGAGACTAACAAAACTGTATATCAAACCCATTTACTTTTTAAGCTATCAAATATTCTCTTTCAAGTCACCTTTTCTGTTTATATATATTTAGAGAACCTTTTGGAAATGAATTCACAGTCTTTGACTTCTTCTCTCTGTTGGCAAACTCCTGAGAATGCTGGGAAATCTCCAGATAACCAGTATGCTTTCTCTTAGGAACAAATTTCAGAGCCTCTTCCCAACTACCAGTGTTTTTCAGACATAACAAAATACGCGTTATTTGATCTAAGGTGAGATTTTTTGTACCAATGTCCCACTGTAAATATTTATCTAACGGAAGGCATTCTGTTGCCAGATTCAGCCGTTTTGCCTTGGCTAGGGATATGCCTGGCTGCATATTCTTATCAACAAAAGATCCCACTATATAAATTTTGTCATGCTTGAAAGTAGTCATAACATTGGGAGAATCTGCAGTTAAATATATAATACTGTCCTTTGGAAATAAATCTACGTGAGACTTTTCTGTTGCTGTGAAAAGCAATTTGTTCCATTTTTTTCCATAACGTTTAATAAACATTCTATGAAAAGGGCTATCTATTTTAAGATTGCAGAAATAAATATGGAAAGGATCAACATCTCTTCTGTTCCATCCTTCACTTTCTAAAAGTTGGGAAACAGTATTCTGCAGTTCTTTTGATTTCATATAATCATCATAGGCCATGTCAAAAACCAAAGGTTGTCCAAACTGCATGGCCTGGACACCCTTCCAGCCCATTGCTATGTCCATCTGCCTATCCCAAAGTCGTAGAAATAGAAAGTTTTGCTGTTTATCTTCCTGAGTGGTTTCTAACACCTGGTCTTTTGCTTTTGCCTTTGCTGCTGCTTTCATTTCCTTTTTTATTTGTTTAGCTTTTTTCATTTTTTCCTTAACATATAAATATTTTAAATATTTTTTTTTTGATGATTTAGAAACACATTCCATAACAGTTTTGAGCTCTTCTTCACTGATGTGTTCTGGTACTTCTCTGCCAAGCAATCTCCACATCTCAATTAACTCCCTAGTGGCAGTTACAGGATCTTCTGAGTCTGCTGAAACACCTTCTTGCACACTAGATTTCATTGTAATTTTCCACCCATCCAATTGCAGCTGTTCAGGTGATGTACTTTCCTTTTTAGAATAGTACATAGCTGGTATTTTGGAAGACATGTATCCCTGCAGAATTGTTGAATGTAAAACCCTTCTCTTCCTATTAAGGGTAAATGGCACCAAAACTCTGGCAAAAGGTCTTATGAAGGTGATACTAATTCCCATTTTGAGGAAAACAGGCATGTAAGAAAACCCCTATAAAAGAAGAAAAATGTAATGAAAAGTTAGGTAAAAATTTTGAAAACATCTGAACTAACTGTACAAATATAAATTTGAGACATCAAAATGCAAAAAATTTCTGAAACACAAAGTGGAATCTTAGTACAACTTTATTTGCTGCACCATTAATTTTTCCTAGACTCCTGTGGCCTAGAACTTATGACCGCTCACTAGGCAAAAGTATAAAACTTACTTGGGTTCTTATTTCAGACATGAATTTCACGATTGCTTTAGGCCAGTGGTTCTCAATCTGTGGGTCACGACCCCTTTGGGGGTCGAACAACCCTTTCACAGGGGTCGCCTAAGACATGACAGTAGCAAAATTACAGTTATAAAGTAGCAATAAAAATAATTTTATGGTTGGGGGTCACCACAATATGAGGAACTGTATTAAAGAATTGCAGCATTAGGAAGGTTGAGAACCACTGCTTTAGGCAAAAGGATACTTTGACGACCCTTTTGAAATATGAATCCAGGGGCCCAGAAAGTCAATGTTAGTAGATAACAAAGTAATATACCACCGATGTTGCTGAGATCATGATGCTATATTCTTTTCCATTCTATACTAATCCAGATACAGAGTGGGGCAAAAGTAGCTTTATAATTGTTCATGGAAAATAATGCAATAATTAATAAATAAAACAAAAATAAACTCTGTGTTTCACATATTTACAACTGTAAACCTACTTTTGCCCCACCCTGTACAGACCCAAACATAAGATCTGTAACAAGCAACACCTGAAGATAAAGGGCTGAAAGTTACAGAATATGGCAACTGGTAAAAAAGCATAGGAGCTGCTGTACCAATGCTCTTATATGTTTTGAAAACAGAAATAGAGAGGTCTACTGATTTTAAAACAAAGCAAACCTCCTTTCTTCAGTTCAGACTTTATTTTGCAGCAAATAATGTTACTGCCAAACAAAATGTCCAAAATTAGGGCAAATATATATAAGCTTCACAGTTTTATCCTAAAGGTCTGGATGTCCACAAAATAATGAAGATGCTTAAAAATGTGAAACTAGTGCTGGATTTGAAGGGAATAAAAGGAAATCAACTTTGTATAAAATGCAACTAAAATACTTGAAAAGAAAATTTTCTTCTTCTAATGACTGCGTGCTCCTGGGTTTCCTGCCTCTTTGACCTGTGCACCGATCGATGTTCAGATGCCCCATCCCCTCACCCCCTTTAAAGGTGGATGTGCCTCTGAGTTCTGACCTTAGCTCTTTTTTCAATCTAAACATTTTCCCTATGAGGTTAGATTTACCTCAGTGGCTTCAATCACCATGAATCAGAAGACACCTCAAATGCAACAAACTGAAATAATCTCTCCCCTTTGCCTTCCCAATCTGTTCCTCCCTCTGCATTGTTTCAGGGGGGAGCACTGCTATCCATTTATTTGCTGAAGCCGGAAACTGGAAGTCATTTCATTACTGTCCTCTCTCACACACAGTGTTCATTTGAGTTATAGTCACTTTACTTTCTAAATACTTTTTTAATTCACTTCTCTTCAACCCCATTTTCTTAATTGCATCTCCTAGACTCCAGATTTGCTCTCCTTCATCTTTACGCCATTTGGAGCAAGTGAAAATCTGGTCAATGAACTCATATTGTCTCCAATGCGCTTTTCTGAGCCCACTGCTGCCAGGTTAAAGTCCAAATGTGTAAATGTGGTTTACAGTTTTTCATGAAATCATCCTTAGCTCAACCTCTTTAGCTACACCTCTCTAGTAATTCACCTCATATATATATATATATATATATATATATATATATATTTTTTTTTTTTTAGATTTTCAATAGATTTTAGGGAGAAAGGAAGGGAGAGGGAGAGTGAAACATTAATCAGCTGCCTCCTGCACACCCCCTACTGGGGATAGAGCCTGCAACCTAGACATGTGCCCTGACCATTTTAACACTACATTGTAATTGCCTCTTTACTTATTTGCCCCAGTAGATAGTAAACTATCAGGCCAAGGATTGTGTTTACATTAACATTGAACTCAATGCTCAGTGGTATATGACTCTCAAAAATCACTCAAGTATTTTTCTTTTATAATTTTTTAAAAATGTTTTTAAAACCAAGCATTGCCTTGGCTGGTGTGGCTCTAGAGTGAGAAAGGGGGCCGGGGGCGGGGGAGAAACACATCGACTGGTTGCCTCTTGAATGTGCCAGAATGTGCCCTGACTGGGAATCAAACTTGGCACCTTTTGATGTATGGGACAAGGTTCCAATCAACTGAGTCACATCAGCCAGGGCTCTTTTTTTTTTTTTTTATCCTCACCCGAGGCTATTTTTCCATTTTTTGTACAGATAGAGAGGGAGGTAGAGAGAGAGAGAAACATCGACGTGAAGGGACACATCGAGTGGCTGCCACTCGCACAACCAACCAGGGCCGGGGACAAACTGCAACCAAGGTACGTGCCCTTAGCGGGAACTGAACCCGGGTCTCTCCGGACCGCAGGCCGACGCTCTAACCGCTGAGCCAAACCGGCCAGGGCCCAGGGCTCTTTATTTGAGCCAAACTGACCACATATGCAGGGAGCAAGTTCTCAAATGCTCCTCAAGTATTTTTCAAATAAATACCCTGGCTCAATAAAAACAATTTACTTTAGACTTCCTGGAATATTTAACTGGGAGTCCTCAGCCCCAATATGAGAAACACTAATTTCAAAACAAAAGTTTTTAAAGTTTTGTCTCTGTAACTGGTCAAGAATTTCAGGATATCATAGAAATGAAAACCCCAAATATAAAAAAGCAAACAAGGACATTATTTTGGGAAACACTGCTTTTGTTCCAGATATTGTACTATTTATAGTTTCTTAAATCACTGGGTTTCCTTTTTTATTATTATTCAAAGAATACTTTATTAATTTTTGTAATCAAATCTTGCAGATAAGACCATACATACTTAATGCAGTGCATTACCCCTGTACGAATGCAAAAAATTATGTTTGTTTCTAGACCAGTATGGCTTTTAACTTCTGTATAATGCCAACCCAACACAGCACAACTGGGATACTTTTCCCAAAGTTGACAGCACAGATAAAGTTCCTCAAAATTCAAATTACACACACACACACCCCCAACAACCCAGCAATCCCAATCCACAGTATCCCTGACAGAAATGTGTGCATAAATGCACCCAAATCTTGTACAGGCAGACTTGGTTTGATTGCTCTACACAGTGTACATTTTTACAAACGGACGGCAAGGTCCTTCACCAGCAAAAAAAATCACAATTTGCTTTATTGAGGTGATCTGGAACCCAACCAGCAATATTTCGATTAAGAGCAACATGTTCAATGCATCAAATATGGGCTTCCTCTGAACTGTGGGCCTTTTGAACGCACATGCTCCACTAAGTCTTATGCCACTTCGGTCTCCCGCGTCCTCCCACCTCAACACGCACACTGGGAGAGGACAAGAAACGCTGGTACCAGGACTGCAGAGACAGTGGCTCCCACCGCAGAAGCTGCAGGCACCTGAGAAGTGGCCGGTTGCTGAAGTGCGGCTTCTCGGAGCTCACAGTTCCTACATCAATTCCCGCAGTGTCAGTTACCCAGGCCGCGCAGCCGGAAATCCCGCCCTCTCCTCCAGCGTGGTCGCGTGACGGCGGGCGCAGGGGGACGTTTTCAGGCCCGGTAAGCAGCGCAGTGGAAGGGAAGGCTGGCTGCTCTCGCCTGCGCCATTGGAAACAACCCTTTCAGCAGAGTTGGGCTAGGTAGCTGAGTTTTTTGTTGTTGCTGCTCTGTTGTTCCATTATATTGTTTCTTTTGTTTTCTTTACTTTTTTTTGTTCCCCCATTAATTAAAACTCTTTGTAATCCTTTTCCCTTTTCATCTCATTTATTGATTTTAGAGAGGAATGGAGAGGGAATGCATTCATTGGTTGCTTTTTTTTAAATCCTCACTCCACATTTTTGCATATATCTTCAGATAGAGCAGGAGGGAGAGAGGGGGGGGAGAGAGAGAGAGAGAGAGAGGGAAACATCAATGTGAGAGAGACACATGGGCTGGTTGCCACCCACTCGATCCCAACTGGGTCCAGGGACAAACTGCAAAGGAGGTACGTGCCCTCAGTGGGAACTGAACCCTGGTCTCTCTGGATCGTGGGCCAATGCTCTAACCGCTGAGTCAAACTGGCCAGGGCTAATTTATTTATTTTTTATTGTTTAGAGAGAGAGAGGGAGAGAGAGATGGAAACATCCATGAGAGAGAACTTAAATTGGCTGCCTCTTGCATGCCCAGGGGTAAAACGCACAACCGGGGCATGTGAGCTGACCGGAATCTAAACAGGGATCTCTCAGTCCTTGGGATTAGCCCAATCCACTGAGTCACACCGCCTGGGCATTTGGTTGTTTCTTGTTTGTGCTTTGAACAGTGATGGGAACAGAAACCTTGGCTATAGGGTTGACGGTCTAACCAACTGAGATACCCTGCCAGGGCTAATCGTCTTCTCTTAACCTACTCTCTGCCTAGTCTCTTTATTTATAAGCATTTATTCCCAGTGGTAAAATAAAACAATGTTTTCTCAAGTCTCCCTGAGCTTTAAACTCCTTGGTGCTACAACTTTAACTTACTAACCATTTTGACCAGTTTATCACCAGTTCTTGGTACAATGCTTAGACCTGATAGGCAACACTAAATATCCACCCCTCTCCCTAGCTCATTTAGAAAATCTAATGTGAAAATGAAATTAAGGCACTACTATAAATTAGTGGCCTTTGGGCCAAAATCAAGTCTGTCAGTGTTCTGTTTAGCCAGCAAAACATTTTTTTTTTTCATCTAGCACATTTTAAAGTGTTTTCATTTAGTTGTCATTGTGAAAACACGACCTACAAACATCATTTATTGGGGAAAGGACAGTCTTTTCAATGAATGGTGCTAAACATAGTTAGACCCACCTTGACCAAGTGGCTCAGTTTGTTGGAGCCTTGTCTTGTACACCAAAAGTTTGCAGGTTCAATTCCTGGTCAGGGCACATACCATATTGGGTGTTTGATCCCTGATTGGGTAATGTACAGGAGGCAATGGATCAATGTTTCTTTCTCTCCCTCTCCCTTTCTCTCTAAAAAAATCAATGAAAACTGCTCTGGTTGGTGTGGCTCAGCTGGTTGAGTTTTGTTCCATGCACTGGAAGGTTGCTGGTCTGATTCCTGGTCAAGTTAGAAATGCAAATTTTAGGGCCCCACTTTCCAACTCTACTGAACCAGAGACTCTGTCAGTGATGCCCCCAAATCTTTGTCTTAACAGGATCTCCAGATTATCTTAATGCACTATAAAGTTAGAGAATTAGTTTTTGAAGAAAAGTTGAAAAGCAAGCAAGAGAATTTTCAGTTAAAGACTTTTCATAGCAAATTTGCTAACAATGTTTTTCTTTGTTATTGTTAAGATGTGTTTAGTCTGGTATTGAGAAATGACACAAATCTTGGTGTACTTTGCTTATGAAGAATGACCACAGTCTATTGACTATTTTTCACAAGAAAGGAAAAAAAAAATCGCATGATGATGTCAGAAGGTCTTAAGATTTTCCTGAAGACCTCCCATATCTGGCATCTGTCTTTCATCTACCAGGACACAGTTTGGGGTTTCAGCTTATAGCCAAAAAACTGGAGATGTCTCCCACCACACCTTAAAAAAAAAAAAAAAAGTTTTTATTGTTTTTTTAGAGAGAGAGAGAAACATCTATGTGAGAACTATGTATTGGCTGCCTCCTGCACGCCCCCTACTGGGGATGGAGCCTGCAATCCAGGAATGTGCCCTGACCTGGAATGGAACCCTGGACCTCTCAGTCCAAGGGATGACACTCAGTTCACTGAGCCACACTGGCTGGGCTTTTTTTTTTTTTTTAGCTACAAAAATAGATTGACATCAGAAGTCAGAGTAAGGAAATAACAGTAGGGTGGCTCCTGGGAGAGACAGCTTAAAATAAGCTTTGTTTTCAACATCAACATTTGTGTGTGACAAGAATGCTGATGTTTTGCAGAGAAAGAGAAAACCAGTTTCTAAATACATAGAGCTGTTTATCAAAAAAGAAAAATGTAAAACAATGTGATAAATCTTCCAAAGCAAAGATAATTTTATAACTAAGTTGAGCTGCTTTATCATTAGTTTTAATTGGTGTCCTTTCTGATATGGTGGTTTAAGATATGTCCCCAAATTCCTTGACATTCTCTTCAAGTGGAGCCTAATTCCCCTTCCCTTGGACTTAGTGAATCACTTCTAGCAAGTAGGAAAAAAGTGGACCAGCATGCAACTTCGGAGAGTAGGTCATAAAAGGCAATGCAGTTTCCTGCTTGTTCCTTTATTTGGATTGTCCAAGTAAGAAACCTTAAAACCTGTAGGGATTAAAAATTTTTTTTTTGCCCTGGTCAGTTTGGCTCAGCGGTTGGTGCATTGCCTGTGGACTAGAGAGTCCTGGGTTCGGTTCCTGCTAGGGGCACATACAAAAAAAAAAATTTTTTTTTTTTAGTTTACTGATTTTAGAGAGAGAGAGAAAGGAAGGGAGAGAAAGAGAGAGAAACATCAATTTGTTGCTTCACTTATTTATGCATTCATTGGTTGATTCTTGTATGAGCCCTGATAAGGGATCAAACACACAATCTTGGTGTCCTGGGACAATGCTCTAACCAACTGAGCTACCTAGCCAGGGTGAGCCTGAAGAGATTTTAAAAAAGGGTTTACTTGAGCCAAACTGCTGATATGTCAGAAAGCAAGATCTCAAACTCTTTGGGAAATGACACTTTTTGCAGTTTCTTTTATATATTTGGAATTAAGGAGGGAAGGTAAGGAAGATTTACATAAACAATGAATGTAACAACACAGAGAAATATCTATTATTGGATTACAAAATAGTTAACAATATAATGTACTCTCTTGAAGGTGGTTATACTTCCCAGAGGTCAAAAAGAGAAGCATTTGAAGGGTGCCTTAACTTAGATGCACAAAAACAGTATACAGGGCTTAAGGCAAAAATAATATTTTATTAGGGAAGTTATAGGCCTGAAGCATGCCTACCCACCATGACCTGGAGGAAGGTGGTGACTATGTTGAGAGGACACTCAAGTGACAAAGACTTTCTCCTGGATCAAACTTTAGTTAGGCTCTTCTGAGTCCTCTTCTGGACTAGTCCACAACCTCACAACCGAGGCCTCATGTGTAACATCTGATCCTTGTCAGACCTGCACAGCTCAGTCTTAGCAAGAGTCCTGCTACTTCATCTCCCCACCCTTGATATCTAAGCCCTTGGCCTGCCTTTAGCAAGAATCCCTCTACCTTTGACGTCTCCTCTCAGTAATTTTCCACCCACTGATCCCCTCACTCTACTCCTTGGCTGTCCCTATTGTATTCAGAGTTGAGCCTGATCACTCCTTCCTATTGCAATATCCCTGTATAAAGTCTTTCTCACCATTTCTAACAAGTGTCAGAATAACTTTTTCTTTAACACAGTGGTTCTCAACCTTCCTAATGCTGGGACCGTTTAATACAGTTCCTCATGTTGTGGTGACCCCCAATCAAAAAATCTTTTTTGTTGCTACTTCATAACTGTAATTTTGCTACTGTTATGTCTTAGGCAACCCCTGTGAAAGGATCATTCGGCTCGCAAAGAGTTTGCAACCCGCAGAATGAGGCCTGGTGCTTTAACACAATCAGCCTGTGTAAGAGGTCCATATGGTGAAGAACTAAGGCTTCTTGCCAATATCCAGTCAAGCTCAGATCTCTGCATATCCACCTTTACTGTATTCTCCCTGAGATCCTGAGCCAGAATCACCCAACTAAGATAGTTCTGAATTCCTAACTAACAGAAACTAGGAGATAAATGTTTGTTTTAAGCCACCAAGTTTTGGGGTAAACTATTGTGCAACGATAGACAAGTAACACACCTGACTACCAGATAAAATAGTAATTGGGGTGCTATGAGAAATATCAGCTTTTGGTTAAGTAAATGTAAGATAGAATAGCTTTAATGGTGACACTTTAAGTTTTTACTCTTTTTGTGCTTTTCATTCAGGTGAATTAAGTACATTCAAAGCTCACCTCATTTACAAAATAGTAAATGAAAGCTGGGAGAAATTAAATGATTTAGTCAAAGCTGAGATTTATTTAAAATTTGCACATCTTGATTTACAATTCTGTGCCTTTTTTTTTTTTTTCCATTATGGTGCACAGTGTAGAAAGAAGAAAAATTTGACATCTTATGCCTTTGCTGAAAAGGAATTATCTTAGTCTATTGGAGTTGGCATAACAGAATATCACAGATTAAGAGGTTTACACAACAAACATTTATTTCTCACAGTTCTAGAAGCTAAGAAGTCCATGATCAAGGCACCAGCAGATTCAGTGTCTGGTTAAAGCCTCTTACTGCTTTACAGATGGTTTTCTTCTTGCTGTGTCCTCACATGGTGGAAGGGAGCTCTCTGGAGTCTTTCTCCTGAGAGCACTAATCTCATTTATGAGGGCTCCATTCTTATGATCTAATCACCTCTCAAAGGCCCTACGATCTAATACTATCACATTGGAGGTTAAGATTTCAACATGAATTTTGGGGTATATACATATTCAGCCCATAACAAGAATAGAGCATATACTAGGTTAAAAAGTAGATATTAGGTATAGCTATGTACAGAGACATCTGTATGTCCTAGTAGAAATGGTGGAGTCAATTTTTCAAATGCATTGTTTAGTATAGGTCCCTCTTTCTTAAAAAAAATTATTTTTCTTTATTAATTTTTGAGAGAGAAGAAGGGAGAGGGAGAGAAAGAGAGAAACATTGATGAGAAAGAACATCAGTTTGCCGCCTCCTGCATGCTCCCCACTGAGGATTGGGCCCACAACCTGGGCATGTGCCCTGCCTAGGAATCCAACCAGCGACCTCTTGGTGCATGGGTCAATGCTCAAACCCTGAGCCACACCGGCTGGTAGGTCCCTCTTTTACTCATCAATGGGCAGAGCTAAATGATAATTTGTGAGCTATTGCTTTTTCTTTTTAAAACTTTCTGGAATAGCCAAAATACATTTTTCACTAGTAGTCCCTATGTCAGCAAATGGTATTTCTCAATAATCAAGCCAAAAATCTGGGAGTAATCTTTGCCATTTCCTTCTAATTTCTGACCTCCAATCAATCACAGAATGTTGTTTATTAGGAGTATTAAATATTTCTCATTCTACTGCCAAAATTAATTTGGTTTCCCTGCTTCTAATCTTGTCCTCCTTCTAAAATATTCTCCAAACTGCTATCAGGATATTCTATATAAAATGTAAATCTGGCCCTGGACAGTTTGGTTCAGCCATAAGAGCCTCGGCCCGCGGACCAGAGAGTCCCGGGTTTGGTTCCTGCTAAGGGCATGTGCCTCGGTTGCAGTTTGTCCCCGGCCCCAATTGGGGTCATGTGAGTGGCAACCACTCCATGTGTTTCTCTCACATTGATGTTTCTCTCTCTTTTCCTCCCTCTTTCCCTCCTGCTCTATCTGGAGATGAATGCAAAAATGTCCTTGGGTGAGGATAAAAAATAAAAAGTAAATCTGATAATATTCTTCTGTCTAAAACCACCCAATGGCTTTCATTGTATTAGAATAAAGTTGTAAATCTTAACTATGGATAATGCAGCCATGTGTAAGCTGCCTACCTCTGCTTATTTCTCTAACTTAACTTTCCAGCTATTGATAAAAAACCCTCTCCCCTTAGCCAAATCTGAGTCTGACACCTCTGAGCCCTCCTATCAACTAGGCCCTAATGTTGGACTCTGTCCTTAGTTGGTTAAGTACAGTTTTAGTAAGAATTCTGCTGAGTCAGTCTAGTGAAAATCTCTCACCCTTGTTATTGAATCATTCTTTGTATCTGATAAAATACCTCATCCTGTGGTATCTGATAAAATATCTCATCCAGTGTGGCTCAGTGGTTGAGTGTGGAACCATGCATCAAGAAGTCGCTGGTTTGATTCCCAGTCAGGACACATGCCCAGGTTGTGGGCCAAATCCCCAGTGGGGGCATGCAGGAGGCAGCCAATCGATGTTCTCTCTCATCGATGTTTCTCTCTCTCTCTCCCTTCCTCTCTCCAAAATCAATAAAAGGAAAAAAATACCTCATCCTCCACTCTATCATTTTATATGTTTTCATTGATTTTTTTTTAGAGAGAGAGGAAGGGAGAGAGAGATAGAAACATTGATGTGAGAGAGAAACATAGATTAGCTGCCTCCTGTACAGCCCCCACTGGGGATCAAGCCTGCAACCCGGGCATGTGCCCTGACTGGGAATCAAACTGGGACCTTTTGGTCCATGAAGTGATGCTCAATCCGTTGAGCCAGACCAGGTGGGCTCATCCTTCACTCTCAACATCATATCACCCTGGCTTTCCTTCAGCAAGAATCCATTCATTCTGTGTAGCAAGAATCTCTCATACCCCTTAATGTTATCTCTTAGTAATTTTGCATTTATTGACCTTTACCTTGATCCTTGGCTACAAATCCCCTCCACTCCTCTTTGAAATTGAAGTTGATCCTAATCTCTATCTCTTACTGCAAAATCCGCATTGCAGCAATGCCTCTTGAATATCATCTTCCTTATTGTCTTTAACAAATGTCAATGAATAATGTTTTCTTTAACTCTACTTCCTCATAACTTTTAGCTTTAGCTGAACTGGATGTTCCCCTCCTGCCTTAAGATCTTTGCATATACTGTTCCTTTGGCTATGATCATTTTCCTACCTAACTACTACTACTACTGTTCTTCAAACTGAGTACTGTTTTCTCAGGGAAGTATTCATTGTCTTTCTTTTTTTTTTTTTTGTCAGGGAAGTATTCTTTGAATCCCAAGCTTTGTTAGCTCTCACACTAGATGTTCCATGGCACCTTTTCTTTCTTAACACTCTTCACACTTGCAGTTTGTTGTTCACTGTAAACTCCATATGGATAAAAGCAACGTGGCCTTGTTTGCCAGCATCCCCAACACCTGCTATTGACTGGCACATAGTCAACACTCAAATACTAGCTGAAGGTATGAATAAACACACACATGACCAAAAACTTTAAACAAAAGAACACAAACATACAAAGAATGGAATTTGCTTACAATATTTAATTTTTATGTTCACTTGTAATTTTAATATGGCATTAATAATATAGAAATCAAAGATTGATTTGATATTTAATTTCTATTGACCACAGTTTTGCTGCCATTCTATTAAACTATAAGAAAATTGCTTTTCAAAAGAAAGATCCTCTACCTTGACTAATACTGTAAAATATTAATGATGGTATCTGACTTCCTGGTTCATTAATAGGACACAAAAGAACATATTCACTTTAGAAAAATTAACAAATCAAACCTTAATCTAAAATACAATACTGTGTGTGAGCTAGAAGTGTTCCTTTTCTTCCAGTATCTAAAGTTTTAGTGGGCCAAAAAAAAAAAAAATCATACATAACAAAAAAGTAACTTAAGCACTTTGCTTTATTTTTGTGGAACTTCTAGTTACTATTGGCACATGAGAAAAATTAATAGTTGCTTTGGCTTTCAGAGCTTTTTTAAAGTATTTGAAAACTGACTGAAGGCTAGAGGAAATGGCTAAATCATGTTTTTCTGTACCAGCAGAAACCATAGGAAACTCCTTCTTCAAAACAGTAGTTGCAGGTCTATCCAAAGGCTTAGGACTTGTCACCCATTCACGGCAGTGATGCTTTACCCATGCTGATAACTGTACATCACTTCCCAGCTGGTGTCTTACATGATGCTGAGAGTCAATAAGTGCAACAGCATATACTTTGCTCATCACTTCCCACTTCCTATGAACAAGCAAGTCCATAAAAACCAAGCCTCCATAACCATGTACAATGAAGGCAACATCCTTGCCTTCAGTCTTTGAAATGAAGCAATCCCAAATGTAAGCCATGTGTTCTTCAGGGGTGTCGCTGCCTCCTTTTGGAATACATTGGAGAGGCTGCTGGAGAGATACAAAGCTCTCAGCTTGAACCATTTTTAGGGAAGAGGACTCAATATTTTGTGTTAAAAGGCCTTTCCGCTCTTTTGCCATGTTTAGGTCCACAAAATTGTCATTGGGATTTAGCACAATTACATCATAATGTGCCTGCAATGCCATTTGAATACATGGTATCTGACTTCCATGTTGTAGACCATGATGTATTATTGCCTGCTGACTCCATTGACCAGCTCGAAAGACCCCATGGTCTTGAAGAAGGACAAGAAGAGCAGAATGATGATTTGTTAATGCTCTCTCACTCATAAAAAAGAAGCTTCTTGATTCCTTATCAGTCTCTGGTGAGATGTATACTTTTTGTAATTTGCATACTTTCTCCAAAAGCTCATAAATGTATTTTTCAAGCAAATGGCCAAGGGCCTGGTAGCGCTTGCTATTCCTCTCAGGGACATTTTTATAATAGTTAAAGACAAAAGGCCTTTGTGTCTCAATGTGTCTCAACTCAGCTTTTTCATTGAAGTCATATTTAAGTTCTTCTAGTAAGTCAGATTGTTGAATAAATTTTTGGAAGCTCAGTTCCTGTGTCATTTGTAGCCACTGAAAGTAAAAATAAATAATATGTTAGTGCTAGAAAAAAATAAAATTTTCAGCCCTGGCCGGTTTGGCTCAGAGGTTAGAGTGTAGGGTTGTAAACAGAAGGGTCATAGGTTTGAGTCCCTGTCAAAGGCACGTACCTGGGTTGCAGGTTTGCTCCCTGGCCCAAGCTGGGGTCGCTCAGGATGCAACCAGTCAATGTGATCTCTCACATTGATGTTTCTCTCTTTCTCTCTCTCTCCCCATTCCCTCCCTCCCTTCCACCCTGCTTAAAAATTAATGGAAAAATATCCTTGGGTGAGGATTAACAAAAAACAAAAACAAAATTCAGCTTGCTAAATTCTTCTGGTGGGAAATAATGCTAAAGTAAGCACTTCACAAAGACATAAACCTTTTAGTCTATGGTAAAGACTTTAATTCAAAATAATTGTGAATGATGCAAAGTAACGAGAGACTGAACATACTAAAGGACAATAGCCAGACATATACAAAAATAAAACTTTGACCCACAACCTACAACAACTTGCCCAGGAAACCAACACTTTATTTATAATGAACAGCTCAGAAAGCTAGCCTGCTGTAAATCAGGCTTGTGGGAAGTCAGACTACTACCTCTAGTGACCAGGAAGTTAAATTATAACAGTAATTTGTTACAATTGGCCCCAAATGGCCAGGAATTGATTAATAACTGACAGCTTTCCTAATTTTTATTTTTTATCTTTATTGTTGAAAGTATTACAAATGTTCCTCCTTTCCCCCCTCACTGTACTCATTTTATTTATTTACTTTTCTAAACATTTTATTTTATTTTAATCCTCACCCAAGGATACTTTCCCCCCATATATCTTCAGATAGAGTGGGAGAGAAAGAGAGAGGGAAACATTGATGTGAGAGAGCCACATCAACTGGTTGCCTCCCACATGACCTGATCAGGGCCGGGACGAACCACAACTGAGTTACACACCCTTGACTGGAACTGAATTTGCTACTCTTTGGTCCGCAGGCCAATATTCTAACTGCTGAGCCAAACAAGCCAGGGCCTCACTTTCCTAATTTTAATCCCCACTTTCAATTTAGAACCTACAAGATTTCTCAAATATGCACTCCCAAACCAATCACAGGATGACACTTCTGGTTAGCCTGCCTACAGCTTCCCCATGACAGTTTACTTTCCCTTTTCCACTATAAAGCCTTCCCACTCCTCTGACTGCCTCTGAGTCTCTGCTATTGGGAACTCAGAATAAATAGGTTTTACTTTTCTTATTTGGTTGGTCTTTATTTCCACAGTAAGCATTTACTAAATTATACAGGGGATGGCAGTGTAGGTTATGATCAATTTATCTAATAATAAATGATATGGTTATTCTGATGTTTGAGAAGAAAAAACGCAGCTAAGAAATTAATTTAGAATTATTGTAGACAAAATCTAAAGGGAAAAGAAAAGGCTTGAAAAGGTTAAGTGGCTTTCCCTAAAGCCAAACAACTATTAAATAAACAATGGGTACTAAGGGTGGCTGACTCAAAAATTCATGTTCTTTTCTATTTTTCTTTATTGCTTTTAGAGAGAGATGAAGGGAGAGAGAGATAGAAACATTGATGAGAGAGAACATTGATTGACTGCCTCCTGCATGCCTCCCCCAAGGGATCCAGTGCACAACTTGGCCATGTGCCTTAACCGGTAATCGAACCAGCAACCTCTTGGTTTATGGGTCGATGCTCAACCACTGAGCTACACCAGCTGGGCTCATGTTCTTTTAAAAAATATATCTTTATTGATTTTTTTTTATCCTCACCCGAGGACATTTTTTCGTTTTTTGTTCAGATAAAGTGGGAGGAAGAGAGAGAGAGAAACACTGACATGAAAGGGACACGTTGAGTGGTCCCCACACACACACGACCCAACCATGGCCAGGAACAAAATGCACGGAGGTACATGCCCTTTGTGGGAACTGAACCCAGGTCTCTCTGGACTGCAGGCTGACGCTCTAACTGCTGAGCCAAATCAGCCAGGGCTATTTTTATTGATTTTTAGAGAGAGAGGAAGAGAGGGGGAGAGAGAGAAACATCAATGTGAAAGCGAAACATTGATTGGCTGCCTCTTGCATGCCCCCTACTGGGGTAGAGCCAAAACCCAGGCGTGTGCTCTGACCGGGAATTGAACGGGCAATCAGTGCACAGGACGATGCCCAACCATCTAAGCAACACTGGCCAGGGCTAAAATTCATGTTCTTAATAAATACATTAATACTCTCCTTAATTTCTTAACATTGACACTGGCAATCCACAACCCACTTCCAACAAGTAGCCTAAGCTCTTTATCTCCCTGCAGTCTGTATTCCACATAGCAACCAGAACTATCTTTTAAAAATATCCACATAGGATCTCACACCCTTGTTCAAAATTCTCAATGGTTTCCCCTCTCACTCAGAATAAAAGATTAAGTCTTACCATGGCCTACAAGGTCTCACATGGCCCTTAGCTCTCCAGTGTCATTTCCTTCCATTCTCTCACTTTCTTACTCATCTAGCTACATGACCTGGCTCTTAGCTCTTTCTCAGGTGTCATTTTCAACCATTCTCTTGTTTACTTCACTCTAGCCACACCTGGCCTCTTTGCCTCCAACTTGTGGAAAAAGCTCCTGTTTAGTGGCATTCCCTCTTGCTATGCTCACAGCTTGGAACACTCTTCCCCTAGACATCTATAGGGTATCATTTCCTTAAAGTTTCTATCCACCTTTTAACTAATCAGGGAAACTTTCTCTGAGCATTCTATCCGAAAGGGTAATCCCCTCCAAGCCTTTCTCACTCCTTATCTATGATTCATTATTTTTTTTTTCTTTCCTTTTCTTTCTCTCTCTCTCCTTTTTTCTTTCATTTTCTTCTCCCCCTTTTCTTCTCTTTTCCCACTTATTACCAACTGACATATACTTGCTTATTATCTGTTTCTCCTCCATTAGAATGTAAGTTCCATGAAAGCAAGGACAAGGACGTTGTTTTGCTCACTACTGTAGCTGTAGTTCTTGGAATAGTGCTTGGTGAATAGTAGGTAGTTAAATACTGTTGTTAGAATTTTAGATTTTTGCTAAGGGCATAAGAAGGGCAAAAGTCCTGTAGCTGTATATATAGAAGAAAGATGCATGCATAGCTTAAAAAAATTTAGAGACTTTTTCTATAATTTTAAAGTTAATTAACATCAAGTTATGCCCTGGCCAGACAGCTCTGTTGGTTGTAGCATTATCCCAATACCCCAATTTCAATCCCTAGTCAGGGCACACACAAGAGTCAACCAGTGAATGCATAAATAAGTGGAACAACAAATGGATGCTTCTCTCTCTCTTTCCTTTCTTCTCTCTAAAATAAATACATTTTTAAAAAGTCAATTTATGAATTACTTTAGAGAATATCCTATGCATATATATGTTTTCTCTTTTGCAAATCAAGATGGCCCATTAAAATAAAGGAGAGAATCAAACTGTTTTACGTGCTTAGTTTTCTAAAGAATGGATTGGAACAAGATAGCTTAGCTTCAAGAATAAGATTATTAGAGCTACAAGGGATGTTACTGATATTCATAGCTAATATATTTCTTTTATAGAGAAGTAAGGTTTTCAAAGGTAAAGTTACATGCTCAAAGAAACTCAAGCAGGTCTAAGAGCCTGAAGATTAATTTTTACCATGATCTTAAAAATGCATATTATTTGACTGTTTATTTCATTCATTCACCAAAAATTTAGTGAGGGCAGTTGTTAGACAGTTTCTTATATTAAGTAGTCTAGTCATTTTACATTTAATGAAATAAAAAAAAAAGAAGAGTATACAATAATTAATGAGAATTTCAAATTAGGTCCTTCTAGTAATCTGGATTAGGTGGTGACACAGCTGTTATGTTTTGTTGTAGATGTGGTTATTCTTATTATTATTATTGTTTTTTATCCTCACCCAACGACATTTTTGCATTTATCTTCAGATACAGAGGGAGGGTGAGAGGGGGAAGAGAGAGAGAGAAACATTGATGTGAGAGAGACACATCAACTGGCTGCCACCCACACAACCCCAAATGGAGCTGGAAACAAACTGCAACCGAGATCCATGCCCTTAGCGGGAACCTAACCGGGGACTCTCTGGTCCGTGGGCTGACACTCTAACCACTGAGCCAAACTGGCCAGGGCTGGTTATTATTTTTAACATTTTTTTTTTATTCTCACCCGAGGACATTTTTTCGTGTTTTGTTCAGACACAATGGGAGGGAGAGAGAGAAAGAGAGAGAGAGAAACATCGATGTGAAAGGGACACATCGAGTGGTTGCCCAACCAGGGCCGAGGACAAACTGCAACCAAGGTACAGGCCCTTAGCAGAAACCGAACCCGGGTCTCTCTGGACTGCAGGCCGACGCTCTAACGGCTGAGCCAAATCGGCCAGGGCTGGTTATTATTTATAATTGTGGCAAAAATACTAAAATTTAACATTTTAACCATTTTTAGGTGTGCAGTTTAGTGGCATTAAGCACATTCACATTATTGTGCAACCATCACTGCTATCAATCCACAGAACATTTTCATTTGCAAACTGCAACTTTGTATTCATTAGTAATAAACCCTTATTTCCTCTTAGTCCCTGGTTACATAGTAATACCTTATTACAGTAATTACTGTCTGTTGGTATATTTAAGGAAGAAGTCTTTTTGTATATCCTATGCCATTAAGAAGCACAGAATGAAGGATACCTCTACAATATTTAAAATATCTAAAAATACTTAAAAAAATGAGCATATATTAACAAATGTATTTAGAAAAACAAAACAAAACAAAACAAAAAACCCACTGAAAAACTTTTTAAGAAAAACTATTACTATTTTTATTTTCCAACACAGAATGCAACTATGAGGTTTTTTAAAAGAAAAATAATTATGCCTGTATACAATTCTATTTAGCAAATGTAGAAAATGGTAGAAAATAATAGAGCTTATTAAGTTATATATGCAGGTGTTCAAAAAAGAGCAAACTAAATAGTATTTCTTTCCTCTTCCTACCTCTCTGCAGGAAAGATGAAAGAAACTGAATTTAATCCTCCTGAGACAAAGACCTGGAGAAAATAGGATATTGGGGACAGAAAGAAAAAAAAATCAGATGACACCAAATCTTGGGGTTCCCAAGTTTGAGTATGCAACAGAATCCCCTAGGGAAATTTTCAAAATTAATAGTTTAGTGAACTATTATAAAGAGAAACACCACACAGCTGTCACTGAGCAATAAAAGTAGGGGACCACATATATTTGTGTGGATAGAGAATGTCTTGTTTCTGAAAAGATACACAAGAAACCATTAACAGCAGTTGCCTTTGGGTAGAGGAACTGGGACAGGAGCTTCCTGGAGCGAGAGGAGTCTCATATTTCATTGCACATTTATTTGGTGATTAAAGCTTTTTCTTCAAACAAATAAATAAAAAAGAGAAACACCCTTGTTAACAACCCTAGGCTGGCTTTGTCAGACATCCCTAATGTGCCTTCAAGTGCTCTATGCCTCCCTTGAAGAGTAACTATTACTTTGTATTTCTTTATGATTTTATCTCCTCAGTGTGCAGCCCTAGGGCCTATAGTTTAGTTTAGTTTTATACTTAAAAACAACAACAGCCTGATACATTTTCTTGGAAACCTTTTAAACATACAAGATTAGACCACACTTCTAGGAGATTCTGACTCAAAAGGTCTGAGGTAGGACTTAGAAATAGGTAATTTAAAAAAAGTTGCTCCCAAGTATTCCTCACAGCTACATTTTGGGTTTACTAATTTTGTCCAATCTAGATCCTATGCGTCAGGATTTGGATTATGGAGAGGTAAGTGGGTACCAAAAGTTAAAGGATAAAGAAGACTAGACTACCCAAAGTCTCAATTTTACTAAATTATAACATGAAATAAAAATTTCTATTAAAATTAACAAAATATATTAAGGTGTAGAAATGCTAAATAAACACATTTTACCTTGGGCTCAGTCCCAGAGCCAAATGACAGGTTAAAGTTTGTGCATATACTATTTCTTCTATAACTTCCTGGACAAAAGATTACTCTACTGCTCAAATACCCTAAGTTACTGCAGGTTTTCATAACTTCTGGGAACAGGCTATTCCATTTTAGGGCAGTTGCAAATATTGATTACCTTAAAAGGGAAGTAACATGTTTCCACCACCCAAAGTCATATACAGATCCTATATCATAGAAATGTACACTTGAAACCTATATGATCCTATTAACCAATGTCACCCCAATAAATTTAATACAAATGAAGGCAACTTAAAAAAAAGGGGAAAGTTATCTTTGAAACCCAACAAACTTTTTGCATCTTTTAATTAATCACGTTACTTCATTTACCTGTGGAAGAAAGACTTCCTTCACATAAAAATTCTCAATATTTTAAAGATAGGAATCAACTACTAGTGAAAATGAGGTGAATAGCACCATGACACACTACTCCAAATCAAATCTCTCTCCTTGTCTCTCAAAAATCAGTGGAAACATGTCCTCTGGTAAGGATTAAAGTTAATTCACTTGTGATGAGAAAGGGGCTTTTGTAGATTTCATTAATTTCTCTTCAAAGAAACTGTTAGTCAAGGAGTAAAATAAAGGGTTGATTAATTTCACACTGCCTCTATGACTTGAAACTGTTAAAATCATACCCACTGCTTTTAAAACAAAAATACAATGAATACCTAATTTAAATACTTAATACACTCTTCTAACACTCAATAAAGAACCAAGCGCATTAAGATCAAACCAGTCCATCCTCTTTCCTCTTCTTACAAATGCTGGGCTGATGGATTTCTAATTTCAAATTATTTTTTTTGAGGGTTTTTATTTTTTTACTTTTTTTTTTTTTAATCCTCACCCGAGGACATTTCTCCATTTTTTGTTTAGATGGGGGGGGGGGGGGGAGAAAACATCAGTGTGAGAGAGACACATGGATTGGTTGCCTCCCACAAGCGCCCGACCATCGAGGATTGAACCTGCAACCCAGGTACTGGTCTTCACTGGGAATCGAATCTGAGACCCATTGGTGCATGGGCCGATGCTCTAACCACTGGGCAATGCTGTCCAAGGCTAATTTTAAATGATTTTAAAGGCTCTAGCACTGGCTGAGTAGCTCAGTTGGTTAGAGCATCCTCCCGATAACCCAAGGTTGTGGGTTCAATCTCCGGTCAAGAAGAAACCAATGAATGAATACATAAGTGGAACAATGAATCGATGTTTCTGTCTCTCAAAACAAACAAACAAACAAACAAACAAACAAAAAACCAAAAAATGGCTCTAAACATACATAAAAGAAATGACCGTATCCTTAAATATACTAAGAAAAATAATCACTTTTTGGGGTCTTCATATTTTTTAATTAAGAAAGCTTTTCTCTGAACATCACAAAACACTGTAAGATAAAAGGTCCTTTAATTAGTCTTTCATAAAAGGCAAAATGAGATTGTTAAATGACCCTCAAAAGTAGAAACTGAACTTTTTAGTCCTTTAGTTGTTTGCAATACAGTCAACTATGTAGTAGAGATTGTTCAAGCTAAAACAATAAAAATATTGGTTAAAGTGGTATGCTGTTCTTTGCCTTTTCCTGTTATTCTTTGAAATTCTTGGCTTAAAGGTCATTTATCTTCAAATATGTTATTCAAAACAAGGTCCAATTTAAAGAAACAAACTGGCTTACTAAGTCTTTATTAGCAGAAACACTCTATTTGGTTCAGTGACAAGTATAAATTATATATTTGGCAAGCTGAATAATTTGATTAACTTCTTATAATTTCATTTTTCTTAGGTTTACTTCTTACTGCTAAAGTTTAAAACACTTTTATGGAAGCTGCTACTGTGGATGGAAACAGATTAGGCTTACTTACACTTTCTTTTTTTATGTTTTCATCTCTCAGCTCTATTTCCATCTTTTGCAGTTAATTTGTTTCTCATAAAATTGGCTAAGCTGGTTCAGTTCTTGCGTTAATTAAATTATTCAATTAAAAAGGTTGATTCATCAGTAAACTTAAAATTCAGATATTTTTCAGAAAGTAAAGTTTTTATTTGTTAAACAAATAAACGAGTGCCTCAAAATGAAATCCTTGGAGTGAATTTCCATCTCAGCAACCCCTTAAGTATTGCTGCTTTTCAGCCATTCCTGCCCTGTAAGGCACTCCCCCTAGCCCAATAGGCCTTAGCACCTGGAGGCTTACCTAGATTTTTAGCATAGACCACACAGTAATTAAGACGCAGGACTCAATAAGCAGGAAACTGGGCTTTAGTGGTAATCTGGGGAAGTCCTTTTGTTGACGTTGGTAAAGTGGGTAGAGGGGAGCTGATATTAAACTGAAGGATTTCCAGGGCTCCTTCTAGCTTGGAAGAGTGCAAGCCTAGTCATTTTGCCTCTGACTACAGTGCTCTGCTGAATTTCGTTCAAGTTATCGCGATTAAAACTTAAACATTAAAAAAAATGATTCAAATATGGCCAAATAATGATTTTAGGTCAATTTTCTAAACTGATGGGTCCTTTGAAAGGACAAAAAATAAAAAAATCAGTCTAAAAGCTGAGTTCACTGAGGACAAGGCTATGTCCTGAAGTACAATAATGAAAGTTAGTTTAGTTGAATGAATTCCAGTGTACACCTGCTCACTTTCAATCATTTCAGCCTTTTATTTGAAAATACTGATGTTCAGCTTATGTCCTTCCCTACTTTAAACATTAAGAACCTTGAATTTTAAATAGGTCCTGACTTTTTTCCCTCTCAGCTGACCTAATTTATTTCCACTCAAACTGCTAAACCAATTGCTAGATCTTGTTTCCCAGTTTGAGGAAGCTTGATGAGGACAAATGTATAGGAGAAATCTTGAGGAAAACAATACTTCAAAAGGAATAATGTTTTATTCTCATATTTCTGGGGCCACCTCACGAGGTGCAGTGAACTGGTGGAATTCCTAAAGTTGCCCATTTTTTATTTTTCCTACTTAAAAAAAATGTTTTTACTGATTTTTTTTTGAGAAAGGAAGTGATATAGAAACATCATGTGAGACAGAAACATCTGATCGGCTGCCTCCTGCACGCCCTCTACTGGGGATCTAGCGGAAACGCAGGCATGTGCCCTGGAGTCGATGGGGGAACCTCTCAGTCGATGGGGGACCGAGCCATGCGCAATCCACTGAGCAACATTGCCCGGCTGTTTTTTTTTGTTTTTTTTTTTTTAATTATAATTTTTATAAGAGTTTATTTGAGCCAAACTGAGGACATATGCCAGGGAGATCGCCAGGGGACAAGATCTCAAATGTTCCTCCCCGTTTTTTAGCCTAGCGTCTTCAAGTCGGCAAAGCCTTTTAAGATCTCGAGTCAAAACTCTGCACCCAGACTTACTTTGTCACTAGGGCAGACAATAAAAAAACCCCCACCAAGCCACTAAAACGAACAAACACCAAACAAAAACAAACACAACAACAACGAAAGAAACCACACTCCAAGCAGCAACCCGCACAGAAAACAAGTGCCAGGAAGCAATTTCGGGGTGGAGGTGGGAGGGACGCTGATTTCCGGTCTGAGGGCACACGACGACGCTTGCGCAAGCGCGGTTGACACTTTCCTGTTTCTTTTTTTTCTCCCCTCCCCCCCTCCCCCAGCCTGAGGGGTCTTGAGGTGACAGCGACTGCAACTGCGACTACAGCTGCAGGAGAAGATGGACAAGGGGAAGGCCGGGCGACGTCGGTCTTCATCCGGTGAGGGGGCGTCGCAGGAGGCTGAGCAGACTGTCTCCTACCTTGGGCAAATGGGAGGCACTGGCGGCCCGGTGCTGCGGCCCCGGAGCTGCGAGGCTCGGGCTCGGGCTCGGGCTGGGGCGGGGGCGGGGTGGGAAGTGGAGACGGGGGAGCGGAGGGGCGCGCACAATGGAAGGTTCCGAGGTCACCCTCTCCCCGGAGAGACAACCTCGAGCCCAGCTGTCATCGAAGCCTGGGCAGCCTTCACCCCAGCACCCTTTCATTCTTTGCTCCTGCTGTTTTGCCACGCCTTCCTCGCAATTCTACCAGGGTTCCAGTTTTGTTTCCAGTTTCTCAGCGCTGGACCCCACTTTCTCCTGTTCCTCTGCTCTCCACTCGGCCTCTTTCTTACCCCCTTACCTGGGTGCAGGTAGTAGCCGCTGCAAAGGGGGAAAGGCGGGGCTTGCTAATTGACTCTTCGTCACTTAAATGCTGCAACGCGTCTCCCGAACTGGCCCGCTGAATAACCTTACTTTTCCAGCCTCCTCGTGCTTCTTCCAAAAGTGATTAAAAAGTCGAACAGGGGATTTAAAGCCGTCTTTTCGTTGTGTTTTTATTCTCAGCATTTTAAAAATTGCTTTATGGTTTATTTATTTTTGGGAGGGGGGGGGAGAGAGAGAGAGAAAGAGAAATAGCGATTTTTGTTGTTCCACTTATTTATGCGTTCATTGGTTGTTTCTTGCATCTGCCCTGACCTGACTGGGCTTGAACCCTCAACCTTGGCTATCAGGACCAGGCTCTAAATAAAGAACTGAGCTACACCGCCTGGGATGCTTTACGATTTAAATGACTATCTTCAGTCTTTGGTACTACATTACAAACTGATGAATCAATTATTTTGTTTAATTTTCTCATTTCTTATTGTACCGTTTATTTTCTCAGAGACAGCCTTAACAATTCCAAATTTATTTAGGAGTGCCCTAATGGCAGTGCATCTCAAACTGTTTTTTTTTGGTCCTTATTTGCAAAGGAGAATGAACAGAGATTGCCTGGGACATTGTCTGCAGCAGTTGAAAACCTGAAGTCCCTTTCATAAGCAACCAATGTTATCCTGTGTGTGTGTGTGTGTGTGTGTGTGTGTATGTATTTTAGAGATCGTTTTGCCTTTGAAAATACATATATAGATATAATAGAGATTGTGTGTAATACAATAGATTATAATATTTGTTTTCAAATACTTCCTCCCCTAAAACCTTCAAGTAAAGTGGACACATTAGGAAAATGCACACCGTTTCTGTGATGTCATTTTTGTGCTTCCTAACACAGCTTTAGGTATAGTCTTTACCTCAGATTATTTATTTTATTATTATTATTTTATAAATATGTTTTCATTGACTTTTTAGAGAGAGGGAAGGAGAGAGAGAGAGAAACATCAATGTGAAAGAGATACATGGATCAGCTGCTTCCTGCATGCCCCCTACTGGGGATCAAGTCTGCAACCCTGGGCTTGTGCCCTGACTGGAAATGGAACCTGGACCTCTCAGTCCTTGGGAGGATGCTCAATCCACTGAGCCACGTTGGCTGGGCTTATTACTTCAGTTTAAAATTCACCCAGAAGCTCCTGAAGCCTTTCTTCAGAGTACATTGAATCTGTATTTTAAAATTATTTATAACCATGATTATCTTATTTCCAAGTTCACAGCATATCAAAAGCAGGAGGTAGAGTTAGATGAGGACAGATTAAAAAAAGTATTGGTACCGGGAACAATTTCACCAACAGTTGAATGAATGAAATAATTATTAAATCCATGGGTTATTTAAGGGAGAATGACCATTAGAAATGTTTAACAACAACAAAAGTATAACATATATTAGAGTTATAGATCACAATTTATAAGTGGGTTTTTGAATTAAGACAGGAAATTTCAAGTAAACTTTAGATTTTCAACTGGTTGCTTTAGGCAACATTCTTCACGATCTGTGTTCGCTTTCTTTTGAGTTAAGTGTATATGTTTTTATTTAAAAAAAAATTGTTTTTTTCTTTATTGCTTTGAGAGAGAGAGGAAGGGAGAGGGAGACAGAGATAGAAACATCAATGAGAGAGAACATCATTTGGCCGCCTCCTGCATGCCCCCCACTGGGGATTTGGCCCACAACCTGGGCATGTGTCCTGACCGGGAATCACATTGGCAACCTCTTGGTGCATGGGTCGACGCTCAACCACTGAGCCACACCGGCCCGGTGGTGTACATGTTTTTAAAAGAGGGGCTGGAGAGAGAGAGAATGTCGATTTGTTGTTTCACTTTTTTATGCATTCATTGATTGCTTTGTATGTGCCCTGACTGGGAATTAAACCTGCAATCTTGGCTTATGGGTACGGTGCTCTAACCAACTGAGCTACTCAGCCGAGCTGTTCATATATATATATATATATATATATATATATATTTTTTTTTTTTTGAGTACTTAGGTACTAAGCAGTGTGCTAAAAATTTTACAAACTATTCTTTCAAAAGCCTTATAAGGTGGTTATTATTTCTAATTTACAGATGAGACTGGGACTTAGGGAGGGTAAGCAACTCTTAACGGTAAGAAGCAGATCCAGGATTCAAAATCTGGTCTTTCTGACTACAAATTTATAATTTTAACCTCTTCTACTGTCACAGGCACTATTAAGCCTACTTGGAAAAAAGAAAGTTCTGTGGACAATTATGTTTGACAACTGTAGTTACAAGAAAATTTTATTTACTGCAGGATTTTTTTCAGAGCCTTTGCTATGCTACATTAGGCCTCTCTCAGAGAGTGACCAAGTGTGCAGTATTTCTCAAACTTACTTGATTTTTAAAAAAAAAAATAGTTTTATTGATTTTTTAGATAGAGAGGAAGAGAGAGATAGAAACATCGATTGGCTGCCTCCTGCATGTCCCATACTGGGGATGTGCCTTGACCAGGAATTGAACCGACAACCTTTTGGTGCATGGTGTGATGCTCAATCCACTGAGCCACACCGACTGGGCAAACTTGCTTAAATTTGGAACTCTTCCCTCCCTTCCCCAGTTTCATCTTGAGTATCTAGTGAAATAGGAGGCAATATCATCTTTTCTTTTTTTAAAAAATTAATTAGTTTATTTTTTTGGTATGTGCCCCTAGCGGGAACCAAACCCGGGACTCTCTGGTCCGCAGGCTGACATTCCAACCGCTGAGCCAAATCGGCCAGGGCAATATCATCTTTTGAGAAAGAGACTTTCAAGTGGTTTTGGGAGGTCAAACTAGAGTAGGAGGTCAATTAGGGATAAATATAAGAACTATTTAATTGAAAAATTTTTGTTAAAACAAGTTTGAGTTTGCAGTAGTAGTAGCTGCAGTTACTACAATTATATGACTTCCTTCAGTTGTGCTAAGTAGTGCAGGAAGAAGAATTTGGAAAAGAAATGAATTTAATATTAATTAGGGTTAAAGGGTATGACAAACGGGGGGGGGGCAAAAATGGGTTCAGTATGAGTGAGAAAAAAATGGAAGGGTCAAAGAACAGTATGTTGTAGAATGAGAAGTTCTCATTTGAGACCTTGAAAGGTGCAACACTATTCCTTAAATCCATTCATAAGTGTTTGTTTCTGAAATGGGGATGTGTAGAGGAAGTTTGTTAGAGTAAATTAAGGTGAGTCCTTTGTATTGCATGAGTTGATTAATAGAAGTGTTAGAGATTCAGAATGATGGTGTATTATAATGATGAAAAGGAAAACTATAAATCAAGTATCAGAATATTCTAGGAATGTTAGAGCTGGTCTTGGCTCAGTACATGGCAATCACAATTATGAGTGAGATAATATATCCAATTTATGGGAACTTTAAAAAAGGAATTATTACAATAAAGATAGAATATTCATTGGAAATGGTGGCTGGGGGAGAAGATTGTTAACTACTAATTTTGTAAGTAGGAGAAGAATCTTCTAGAAAAAGTGTCTTAAAAATAGTGTAGTCAGCCCTGGCCAGTTTGGCTCAGCGGTTAGAGTAACAGCCTGCGGTTCAGAGAGACCCAGATTTGGTTCCTGCTAAGGCCATGTACCTCGGTTGCAGTTTGTCCCTGGCCCTGGTTGGGTTGTGCGGGTGGCAGCCACTCGATGTGTCCCTTTCACGTCGATGTTTCTCTCTCTCTCTCTCTCTCTCCCCCCCCCCCTTTTCTCTGTTCTCTTCCTCTCTCTCCCCTCCACTCTATCTGAACAAAAAATGGAAAAATGTCCTCAGGTGAGGATTAAAAAAAAAATAGTGTAGTCAGTAAAAAGGTAGCATTCAGTTAAACTAAGGTGGAGCAAATGTTCAAGGAAATGATTCAGAATTTAAGGAAATTGTGTTACTCTAGAAAGGAATTTAGTGGACTAGAGAAGAGAGAGAAGAATGTTGATGAAAAATAGAGTTGAGTTATATTAAGAGATGTAAGGCTGTAGGGTAAGGCTGTAGGGATTGGTGTCTAGGGTGATGAATGTGATTCCCAGGCCTGATGATGGAAGAAAGAGGATTGGAAAGTAGACTAGAGGCAAGTGGTAACACAGGAAATAGGTTATGGGTAGGATTGAGCAACTCCAAAGATCTAGACTGGCACTTTGTTATGGTGTTGTCTCAAACCTGCCTCCCAGATGGGCAAGTCTAATGTGAATCTTCTTAATTTAGGAGGTTGGCTGATGTGAGCTGCTTCATCCTAGCTGCCTGTCTAAAACTTACTTATTATCTTTAATGTACCTCAAAGTTCAGCTCAATTATGCTTTTCTAAGAACTATCTCTTAACTCAAACTTAAAAAAAAATTATACCTATTTCTGAACTTCCAGGGGTCTTTGCACCTCCTACATGATGTTTATCAGATTCCATCATGTATTCTAGCTTGCTGAATTGTTCAGTGTATGTTGTTTTACTATTAACTTGTGACAGGTACTGTCTTATTCATCTTTAATTCCCATAGCATCCAGTATGCCTAGGGTATACTGCTTAAGTATACCACCTCTGCCTGGTCATTGTGGCTTACTTGGTTGAGCATCATTCCATGAACCAACAGGTGCTGGTTAGATTCCTGGTCAGAGAACATGCCCTGGTTTTGGGCTTCATCCCCAGTAGGGGAAGTACAGGAGGCAGCTAATTGATGTTTCTCTCTCATTGATGTTTCTCTCTCCCTCTCCCTCCCTCTCTTTCTAAAATAAATAAAAACATATTTAAAAAAATAAAGAATACCACCTGTAATCAGATCAGTGATGGATCAACATGGTGACCTTGGGCAAATTATTTGGATTCTTCAAACCTAAATTCTTTATATGTAAAATAGAGCTAATACTTTTACTGATCTTATGAGGATTTTATAAGGATTAAATAAAATTTGTGTAAAGTACTTAGCATAGTGCCTGGCAGTGGTAATTACTATTATCCTTAATAAATGTTTATGGAATAAATAAGTGAATGAGTGGTTCCAGAAGTTACTTGGGAAAAAGTCATGCTTTTTAATTGTTTGACTCATATATTTAAAAGGAGAATAATTAGAGAGATTTTTCTATATGCTAATACTAATGTATGTACCAAAGTCTCTTAAAGAGGTATATTTAAATATAAAATACAATAATTATAGTTACCATTTATTTTGCACTAACTGTATGACAGACATAATGTTAAATACTTTATTATAGACTATCTCACTTTAATCGTAACAATTGAAAAGCTGGGTATCCTGGCCAGACTTGTGTGGCTCAGTTGGTTGAGGCATCATCCAGGACATCAAAGGTAGTGGGTTTGATGCCTGGTCAGGGCACATACCCAGGCAATGGGCTTGATCCCCAGTTGGGATACACGCGTGAGGCAGCTGATCTATGTTTCTCTCTCACGTCGATGTCTGTCTGACTCTCTCTAACAAAAACAAACAAACAAACAAACAAACAAAAAAGCTGGGTATCTTGCCCTGTTTTAGAGATGAGAAACTGAGTCTTAGATAAGTGACAGCTAGTGAGCAAGATATAAATTTAGGTTGTCTGGCTTTAAAGTCTGTACTCTTGAGCACTATGCTATACCAGATAATCACAAGCAGAGGCACATCATCACATCATATGTTTATTAAAATGCTCCCAAACCAACCTAGTATAACATGGAGCAACTCAGTTATAAAAACCCCTAAAATTTTGAGAAGTCACAATAGTATTACTTAAAGAAATAAGGTAACATGCTACAAAACACCATAGAAGGACTTTTTTTAATCCTCACTTGAAGGTATTTTTCTATTTGTCTTCAAATAGAGTGGGAGGGAGAGAGTGGGAGAGAAAGGGAAAGAGAGAGAAACATCAACATGAGAGGGACACATCGACTGGTTGCCTCCTGCATGACCCCAACCAGGGCCAGGGACGAACCTCAACAAAGGTACCTGCCCTTGGCTGGAATTGAACCCGCGACTCATTGGTCTGCAGGCTGACGCTCTACCATTGTGCCAAACTGGCCAGGGCAGCACTTTTAACTCAATGAATCAGTTTGAGAATAGTAACGTATAAATTATAATTTAAGCAATTGACATTCCTTTTTATTTTGTTTTGTTTTGTTTTTTATCCTCACCCGAGGACATCCTTCCATTTTTGTTCAGATAGAGTAGGGAGGGAGGGAGGGAGGGAGGGGGAGAGAGAGAGAGAGAGAGAGAGAGAGAGAGAGAGAGAGAGAGAGACATCAATGTGAAAGGGACACATCGAGTGGTTGCCACCCTCATGACTAACCCGGGCCGAGGACAAACTGTAACCGAGGTACACGTCCTTAGCAGGAACTGAACCCGGGTCTCTCTGGACCGCAAACCAAAGCTCTACCGCTGAGCCAAACCGGCCAGGGCGACATTCCTTTTTAAAAATACATGTTTTATTAAATTTAAAATTGACTAGAGAAAGACTACACCTTCAGGGATCATTTCTATAGTTTGTTACTAGAGAGGTATTTTTCTGAATGTGTAGAGTACCTGAAACCATGAGGAGGAGGTGCAGTGTTCTCTAGGAAAAAAAAATTGACTAGAAGGTGAACTTATATAAGGTAAAGGCTTTCTTACCATTTATTTAATCGAACTTACTAGGATGACATTGGTTAATAAAATTATATAGGTTTCAGGGGTACGGTTCTATAATACATCATCTGTATGTTGTATTGTGTGTTCACCATCCAAATCAAGTTTCCTTTTATCACCATTAATCCCCCCATTTCTCCTCTCCTACCTCTCCCCTAACTCCCTTTTCCCTCTGGTAATCACCACACTGTTGTCTGTCTGAGTTTTTTTTTTACCATTTATTTAAAAATTATTTACTTTTTTTTTGGTTGTCTCTAAGGAATGCTACTTTATTAAAAACTAAGCCCAGACTGGTTTGGCTCAGCAGTCAGAGCGTTGGCCCGTGGACCAATGAGTTGTGGGTTCATTTATGGTCAAGGGCACATACCTTGGTTGTGGTTTGTCACAGGCCCTGGTCAGGTGGTGTGGGAGGCAACCAATTGATTGTCTCTTTTTCTCCCACTCTATCTGATGATAAGTAGAAAATAAATATCCTTGGGTGAAGATTAAAAAAATACAATCCACAAAAAACTATTTTAAATGATCCAAAGCAGCCCTGGCTGGTTTGGCTCAGCGGTTAGAGCATCCACCTGCGGTCCGGAGAGACCCGGGTTCGGTTCCCGCTAAGGGCATGTACCTCGGTTGCAGTTTGTCCCCGGCCCTGGTTGGTCGTGCGGGTGGCAGCCACTCGATGTGTCCCTTTCACATCGATGTTTCCCTCTCTCTCTCTGTTCCTCTCTCTCCCTCCCACTCTATCTGTGCAAAAAATGGAAAAATGTCCTCGGGTGAGGATTAAAAAAAAAAAAAATTAAAAAAAAAAATAAATGATCCAAAGCTTACATTTAGAGGTTAAAATAATTTTTACAAGAGTGTTTACTTCAAGAAATGAGTATAGTGAAATTAATGTTATCTATTATGAACTTAAGAGAAATTATTTTCACTATGTAGATTTCTGGATAAACTATAGTTCATTTATTATAATTGTTATTTAAAAATTTGCCTGGCTGGTGTTGTTCAGTGGTTGAATGTTGACCCCTGTACCAAGAGGTTGCTGGTTGGATTCCCTGTCAGGACACACACCCAGGGCCTGATCCCCAGTGGGGGGCATACAGAAGGCAGCCAGTCGATGTTCTCTCTCATCGATGTTTCTATCTCTCTCCTTTCCTCTCTCTCTAAAAATCAGTGAAGAAAAAAACTTTTAAATTAAAAAAATTTTAGGTTGAGGTATTACGTACAGCAGAGTATTCATATCATTTTTTACTTTTTGAATAATGTTATTTTTTTTAATTAAAAATATTCTATACATGTCTTTAATATATAATTTGATGACTTTTTATACTTATATACATATACCTATCACCTAGATCAAGATATAGAATATTTCCAGCATCTCAGAAGGCTGATTTGTATCCTGTCCCAGTCAATAGTTCTTCACTCCTCTGGTACTCCCTATTTAGAACATATGTTCATTTTGAAGATTGGGTTGTCTTGCCTTTGCTTTGTATGAGTTCTTTATATATTCTGGTTTGAGTCAGGTGTATGAATTATATAGTATCATTAACTATAGTCATCCTGCTGTACATAGAAGTATGTATTATAAATAATGTTTCTTTTCAGTCTGTGGCTTCCTTCTCACTCTCAATGATGAGGTTTGATGAACAGAAGTTCTTAATTTTGTTTTAGAGCGAGAGGGAGGAAGAGAGAGAGAAACATCGATGTGAAAGAGACACATCGAGTAGTTGCCACCCACATGACCCCAACCGGGGCCGGGGAGAAACTGCAATTGAGGTACGTGCGCTTACAGGGAACCAAACTCGGGACTCTCTAGTCTATGGACTGATGCTCTAACCACTGAGCAAAACCAGCCAGGGCAGAAGTTCTTAATTTTAAATGAAGTTGAGTTTATGAATCTTTTTCTTTTCGATTAGTACTACTTGTATCTTGTTTGAGAAATCTTGGCCTACCTTAAGGTCATGAAGATATTCCCTTTTAATTCTAGAAGCTTTATTTGTTTTCTCTTTGGCATTTGAAACTATGATCCATTTAAAATTAATTTTTGTGTATAGTGTGAGGTAGAGGTCTAGGTTTATTTATTTTCCCATTTGGTTGTCCAATTGCTTCAGTATTACTAATTGAAAAAGACCATCCCTCTACCACTGAACTGCAGTGGTATGTTTGTCATCAGTAGATGACCATATATGTGTGGATTTCTACCACTCATTTTTATTATGAAATATAATATCATGTGATATATTCTAGTAAATTATAAGTTCCAGGAAAGCTTGGACGTGTTTAGTTTGCTCACTGCACTGTACTCATTGTCTAACACAGTGCCAGGCAAATGATAGACATTCCATTCAATCAGTATTTGCTGATTGAAAGAAAGAATCATAAAAAAAATCTACAGGAAGTATGAAAAATGTTGGTAAGGAAAGACTTAAGCTTTTCCTATATGCATAGATAATTAAATATGTAGTAGAATTAAAAGTGTTTTTGTGAAATATTTTCAATTTCTAGCTCTCAACTTTCTGTTTTGTACTCCCCTACCCTGCAATCACAGGAATTTGATAATTTGTCTGGTTATGTGGTTCAGTGAATATTTTCTAAACACCTGTTGGATGTTAGGACTTTTGCCAGATGATTTCTTATTTAGTTCTTAGAGCCAACTTTGCCTCTTTTTAAAAAATATTGTCATCATACATATATTATTTAATGGAGACATTTTGTGAGAATTTGCTACTCTTTTGATTAATTTTTGACCTTTATATTTTTAGTGTGTCAGGTTCTGTAAAAGGTATCAATATAAATTCTAACTCTATCAAGAAGTTAGTTTAAAGCAAAGGATGGCTGTGAAAGGATTTACTTTTATTATCTTGTTTATCTCATTTAGATATTAAATGATAACTTTTATCATGTCTTTGTAGAAATTGTCACAGAAGGAAAAAGGAAAAAGTCTTCATCTTCTGAGTTACATAAGGTATGCATGAATTTTTCTTTTAACCAGTTCATTATCTTTAGAGCCTACTAACATTGAAAGTATTTGGCTAGTTGTTTTTAAAATAAAATTTTAAGAAAATACTGTAAAACTGTAACTAATTAATGTTTTTTTGGGGAATGGTATATTAACCGAGAGTTAGCTAAGAAACTCTCTCTGGGACAGCCTTGTTTAAGTCATTGTAAGATGTACCAGTATACTTTCTAGGCCTCATTTTAGACTTTATATAAAACATAAGACAGTATTTTTTTGGTGAGTGAATGCAATAGAGTGCCTCACTTTCATTTATTATAATACTGTAAATGTGTAAGTGTTATACTCAAGTTATGTGCTGAAATTACTATTTGGAATATGTTATATTAATTAATTCATTCTCTATAAGCCAAGAGTAGCAAAACAAGCAAGATGAAGTTTCTACCTACTTAAGAAGTGTTTAAAAATAATCCATTTTTATTTATTTATTTATTTATTTATTTTATTATTATTTTTTTATCCTTACCTAAGGACATTTTTCCATTTTTTGTTCAGATACAGTGGGAGGGAGAGAGAGGAAGAGAGAGAGAGAAACATCGACGTGAAAGGGACACATCGTGTGGCTGCCACCTGCACGACCAACCAGGGCTGGGGACAAACTGCAACCGAGGTACATGCCCTTAGTGGGAACTGAACCCAGGTCTCTTTGGACCACAGGCCAATGCTCTAACCACTGAGCCAAACTGGCCAGGGCAAAAATTAATCCATTTTTAGAAAGATAATCTTTTTTTCCTCTAGAATTTTGTGATTTAAATGCAGTAGTATCCTGATTTACAGTATAATAGTTTATTAGATGCTTTTCTCTGAAGCATTCCAAATTATGCACAGAAGACTTTAATTTGGCAGAGAACTTTAAGTTTGGTACATTTTGTGGAACAAGGAGGGCTATGAGAGTGAATCAAGAGAATCTTATAAGACTACACAAAGAACATGGCTTTAGGTACTCTATTTCTACCTTGGCTTACTTCAGATTTTTGGGAATGTGATTTCTTTTCTTTCTCTCCCTATTTCTTTTTTTTTTTTAGAGAGGAAAAGAGAGGGAGAAAGAGAGAAACATCCTGGATGTGAGAGTGAGACATCTATCAGCTGCCTCCTGCAAGCCCCCTATGGGGGATCCAGCCTGCAAACCTAGCATGTGCTTGGACTGGGAATTGAACTGGCAACCTTTTGGTGCAAGGATGATGCCCAACCAACCAGGCTACACTGGCCAGGGCGGGCGGGCGGGCGGGCTTGCTTTCTTTCTTTCTCTCTCTCTCTCTCTCTCTCTCTCTCTCTCTCTCTTTCTTTCTTTCTTTTCTTTCTTTCTTTATTTCTTTCTTTCTTTCTTTCTTGGCTGGGAGGTAAATAAATAGAACAATGCTTTCTATCTAATCATCTCCCTTAGCCTGTGTTTTAGTGTTCCAAAGTTTAATTAACAGAACGGGGAAGCTGGCCTGAACTGAACTCAATATGTTGGAACTGGGATGTGGTTTTTCTATGTAAAATTCTTAAGTGAGGTAAATGTGAGGTTAAATAAAATTAAATCTTCATTGTTACTGTACCCAGTTTTAAATACTTGTGTACTGACTTTCTTCTTTTCTGTTTAATATCTTCAGTGCAGTGAAATGTTCTGCTTTATGCTATTGCTTCATGCAATTTAATCTGCAATTCCACCATTATAAATTCATAATATTGAGTAATTACATTTCTCTGTCTTAGTTTTAGATGTCCTACAGTAATTTTAACTTTTTTTTCAAGTAACTTTAGATTTACGGAAATAGTACAGTTCTTGTCTACCCTTCACTCAACTTTCCCCAATGTTAATATCTAGATAACCTTAGTTCAGTGATCAAAATTAAGAACTTAACATTGGTATAATACTTTATTATTTATTATTATTTATTTTTTCTTTATTGATATTAGAGAAAGAGAAGGGAGAGGGAGAGAAAGATATAAACATCGATGAGAGAGAACATAAATTGGAGGACTCTTGCATGTCCCCCACTGGGGATCAGGCCCACAACCTGGCATGTGCCCTGACCAGGAATCAAATTGATGACCTTTTGGTGCATGGGTCAACGCTCAACCACTGACCCATACTGGCTGGGCATATTATTTATTATTATTATTATTTTTTAATTTATTGATTTTAGAGAGAAAAAGAGAAAGAAACATCGATTTGTCTTTCCACTTAGTCATGCATTCATTGGTTGATTCTTGTATGTGCCCTCACCAAAGAACAAACCTGCAATGTTGGCATATTGAGATGATGTCTAATGAACTGAGCTACCTGGCCAGGGAAACAATAGTTTATTTTATTTATTTATTTATTTTTGGTGTCCCTGGGTTGGTACAGTATTTTAAATTAAACTATAGACATTATTTGGATTTCTTCAGTTTTTCTACAATTGTCAGCTTTCTGTTCCAGGATTCAGTCAAGGATCACACATTGTATTTAGTTGTCATGTCTTCTTGATTTCCTGCAGTCTATGACAGTTCTTCAGTTTCTTTTTCCTACATGATTATGACACTTAAAGAATGCTGGTATTTTGTCAAATATCCCTCAGTTGGTGTTAAGTTTCATATGATTAGATTAAAGTTATGACCTTTTGGGAAGAATACAACAGAAGTGACGTGCTCTTCTCAGAGTATTCTATCACAGGTTACACAATGATCATATGTCTTATTATTTTGTTGTCAGTCTGGATCACCTACTCAAGATGCTGTTTGCTTGGTTACTTTATTATAAAATTACTTCCCTTTGTAATAAATAGATACCTTGGGAGAGATACTTTGAATCTGTGCAAGTGTGCTTTCTCTTAAGCATTCAACCACTGTTTTAGCATCTTGAAGTGGGATATTGCCTGTAACAGTTATATATGTGATACTCTATTGGTGATTTTCCTTTTTTTGTTAATCCACTCACCTGAGGATATTCTTCCATGGAATTTTTGATAGAGTGGAAGGGAGTAAGTGAGGGAGAGAGAAAGAGGGAAACATTGATGTGAGAGGGACACATTGATTGGCTGCCTCCCACATGACCCTGACTGGAGCCAGGGATTGAACCTAGAACCCAGGTATGTGCCCTTGACCGGGAAATGAAGCCACAGCCCTTTGGTCCAAGGGCTGATACTCTAATTGCTGAGCCAAACCTGTCATTAACATTTTAATTAAAAATTTAATTTTTAATTTTTATTTTTAAATCCTCACCTGGGGGTATGTTTGTACTGATTTTAGAGAGAGAATGGAGAAGGAGAGAGAGAGAGAGAAAAAAACATTTATGTGTGTGAGAGAGAGAAACATCTATGTGCGAGAGAGACATTGATTGGTTACCTCTCTTACTTGCCCTAATTGAGAGTAAACCCGCAACCCAGGTATGTGCCCTGACTGGGAACTGAACCTGCCACTCTTCTGTGTATGAGCTGAGGTTCCAACCAACTGAGCCACACCAGCTAAGGGCCCCCTTTCCTTACTTTTAACTTTATTAATGTCTCTCATTATCTACAATATATTTACCTAGTTGTTCAACAGTGATATACACATAAAGTTGTACTACTGCATTTTAAAAACTTTAATATTTTATTATTTTTGTTAATCCTTACCTGAAGAATTTTTCCATGGATTTTTTTTTTTTTTTTTTTTTTTAGAGAGAGTGGAAGGGAGGGCAGGAGGGAGAGATTGAGAGAGAGAGAGAGAGAGAGAGACAAAGAAACATTGATGTGAAAGAGACACATTGATTGGTTGCCTTCCACATGACCCAGACAGGGCCAGGTATGGAACCTACAACCCAGGTACGTGCCCTTGGTTGGAACTCAAACCCGAGACCCTTCTTTCTGTGGGCCAATGCTCTAACTGTTAAACCAAACTGGCCAGGGCTGTACCAATGCATTTTATTTTTATGTATTTATTTGTGATTTTTTGAGGACGTGTATTAAAGCTGGGGACAGTGAAACAAGGAAGGGCCTAGGACAGAAGAAGCAACAGGAAAGAGACTAGGTAGGGAAACAGCCTAGGCTGGGTTGCTTTGGCTCACTAAGAAGTCAGAGGAAGGGGCTTTGGGGAGAGGTTCAGCAGGTTAGCTTGAGATGAGCTGCCACAGCCGATTGCTCCCATTGCTCCTCACATGGGTCCCTTAGAGTTTAGGAGATGCATGCCTGTGGGGGAAGAAGACAGGGAGGGGAAAGGTGCGGGTGTGCTCCTGGGAGGGAGAGTGTGCCTGTGCTATTGCATTTTTAAAATGTAGGCTTTCACTCTGGCCAGTTTGGCTCAGCAGTTAGAGTGTTGGCCTGTGGACCAGTGAGTCCCAGGTTTGGTTCCCACTAAGGGCATGTACCTCCCTTGCAGTTTGTCCTCGGCCCTGGTTGGAGTCATGTGGGTGGCAACCAGTCGATGTGTCTCTCTCACATCGATGTTTCTCTCTCTCTTCCCCACTCTCTCCCTCATGCTCTATCTGAAGATAAATGCAAATGTAGGATTTCTTAGAAAATTAGCATATTAAATTCATGTTAGTATTTTATATATTTTTTTTCTCAAGCCGGTTAGGGAAATAAATTACTGAAAGACAGACTGTGGTGCACGAAGGAATGCAAAAACAAAAAGTGAGGAGCCAGGGAGCAGGGAAGACCCAAGCAGCTGTCTTGGGTTTCCCCATATTCCTGACTATTCGTTTATTTTACAGCTATTGTTTGCCTATACAGTATATCCTATATGTATGTATTTTTTTAACCCTTAAGCCCTCAATATCTAATGAAAACTAAGAAGTAATCAATTAGCATTCTTTAACTTGAACATTTTTATAACCTTTAGAAACAAATCTCACAGACACATGTCAATTATTTTTTTTATTTTTATTTTATTTATCTATTACTATTATTTTTTATCTTTATTGTCGAATGTATAATGTACCTCATTTTTTCCCCCATTGACCCCCTCCTGCCCCCCTCTTGCCTTTTCCCACACTGTTGTCTGTGTCCATTGGTTTCATATAAGTTTTTTGGTTTATTTCTTCCCACCCCCCCCAAACCCCATTCCCTTTGAGGTCTGTCAGTCTAGCAACCAATTTGTACTTCTTAATCCCTTCACCTTTTTCACCCATTCCCCCTAGTCCCCTCCCATCTGGCAACCAACAAAATGTTCTCTGAATCTATGAGAATGTTTCTGTTCTGCCTGTCCATTTTGTTTGTGGATTCAATTGTCGATAGATATGTATTTGTTGCCATTTTGTTTGTTCATATATTTTATCTTTTTCTTCAAAAAGACCCTTCAACATTTCATATAATAACAGTTTGGTGGTGATGAACTCCTTTCACTTTTTCTTGTCTGGGAAAGTCTTTATATGGCCATCGATTCTAAATGACAGCCTTGCAGGATGGAGTAATTTTGGTTGTAGGTTCTTGCTTTTCATCACTCTGAATATTTCTTGCCACTCCCTTCTGGCCTGCAAAGTTTCTTTTGAGAAATCAACTGACAGACTTATGGGAACTCCCTTGTAGATAACTAACTGCTTTTCTCTTGCTGCTTTTAAGATTCTCTCTTTGTCTTGAATCTTTTGCATTTTGATAATGATGTGTCTTGGTGTGGGCCTCTTGAGGTTCATCTTGTTTGGGACTCTCTGTGCTTCCTGGAATTGTATGTCTGTTTTCTTCACCAAGTTAGGGAAGTTTTCTGCCATTATTGTTTCAAATAGGTTTTCCATTTCTTGTTCTCTCTCTTCTCCTTCTGGCACCCCCAAGATGCGAATGTTGGCACGCTTGAAGTTGTCCCAGAGGCTCCTTACACAATCCTCATTTTTTTGGCTTCTTTTTTCTTTTTGCTGTTCTGATTGGGTGTTTTTTGCTTCTTTAGATTCCAAATCGATGGTTTGCTTCTTGGCTTTACCTACTCTACTATTGAATCCGTGTAAATTATTCTTTATTTCAGTTAGTGCCTCCTTTATTTCTGACTGGTCCTTTTTTATACTCTTGAGGCCCTCCCTAAGTTCGCTGAGGTTGTCACTAAGTTCATTGAGCATCCTTATAAGTAGTGTTTTGAACTCAGCATCTGTTAGGTTGCTTATCTCCATTTCGCTTAGTTCTTTTCCTGGAGTTTTGTTCTGTTCTTTCATTTGGGACCTGTTTCGTTGTCTCCTCATTTTGGCTGCTTCCCTGTATTTGTTTCTGTGTATTACTTAACGAGTAATATGGGGCTAGCTGAGACCAGATGCTGCTTGTTTGAAAGAATTTAAGATACAGCGATACCTCGGTTCTCGAACGCCTCGGTTTTCGACCAAATCAGGATTCGAGAAACTTTTGTCTCGGAATCCGAACAAATATTTGGAACTCGAACTTCCGAGTTGAGCCGAATGGCGTTCATTCGGCCCAGCGCGCCTTGCTTGCGTCATCAGTGTGAGTGCAGAGAGAGAGTCACGCTTTGTGGAGTCCGCTTTCCTATTGGTTTCATTGCTTCGGTTCTCGAACAATTCGGTTCTCGACCATCCTCCT